ATGATTTAGCCAATCAGAGGTCTGGCATTTCGAGGGACCTTGCACCAATTTGCTCTAGGTGGCCTGGGGAAGGACGTCGCCTGCATTGTAACATCACCACCATGCACATAAGGCCACACACCCATTGGCATCAGAGATCGCTGCTGGGCAAGTTTGTAACTGCCTCTTTTTGCACAACGAGGCGCTGACACACCTGCCATCTTTTTGATCTTGCTGCGGTTTGTTACTGATGCCTATCTATCAAACCCCACAGGGCTGGAAAGAGAAACTCAAATCTGTTGCATATCGAAGGACTGTGCAAAACCTTGAATTCAGATGCCTGATGAGGCAGGTTATATTAGGACAAGCACAAGAGCCGTGCTGGTTCTCAGAGAAAGAACCAAGGAGTTTCAGAGGCTCTTCAGCTTTGATAGAACAGACTGAATTCCTGTGTTTTTTTTTTTTTTCAATTATAGGGAATCCTCGATTTACAAGCATTTGACGTTATGATGGACTCAAAAAAGGTTATTTATGGACCGTCCTTAGGACTGCTGCACAGCCCTGTGGTCGCTCATTTGCATTTTGAGACTTTCTGCCCTTTTTACTGGGGGAAAAATGATCAGTGGTTAAGTGGGATTATGATTTGCAAGTATCTGATTTGCTTAACGACTGACGGTTAACAACTGTTGTAAAAGTCAAGTCCAGCACATGGTGATTCGACTTATGATCAGAATGGCCCACAAGCAAAATTCTGAGCTCAACGGCGATCATAAATCAAGGATTGCCTGCAGAGGCACCTTGACTGGAAAAAGAACAAACCAGAGTTAGGACACGGCACAAAAAGAAGTCACTTACAAGCCTTCCCTGAAGCCATCAATCAGTGCTTGAAAAAGAGGTTTGTTGTGGGGAATTGTCTGGAGGATGTTTCCATCTGCAGTGACATAGCCAATGGCCCACTGACCAAGTCGCGTACAACTCAGACGAAAAATATAACTAAAACAACAAGAAGATACACTGATAGCTGAACAAGACAAACTTGAACTTCCTACATATGAAGCCTTTTTTGAATAACATCTCAGCAGAAAATCTCCCCCTCCCCCCCAAAAAAATCCTGGCAATCGTAATTATCTGAATGCTTCTTTCAATGTGCATTAACGATTATGGCAAGGATGTCCCTAACTTCTTGGATACTCTAAAAGTTGGCTTGATTATCCTACAGGAGCATTCCTACTGAGGAATGTCCATCTAAATTTGACTGACAAATAAATGAATCACCAATATGCTTAACCTTGCAAATGTCAATTTTTGGTGTTTCAAATTTAGGACGTCCCTGGTATCACTTATTTTTGATATATAAAATGCTTAACCAGAACACGAATGGAGGTTAGGAAGGCTGCCTTGAAGCACTCACCTTCCAGGTTTGTGAATGAACTTCTGGAGCCGGGCCTTGACCTCATCATAGGTCAGGAATGCCATGTAGCCAGGATGAGTGACCGCAAGGCTATTCCAGTTTCGGAGCAAAGATGACCAGGGCTGGGTTGGGGGAGGGGAGGGGGAGGGTGAAAAGATAGGGAGTTATTTCAACAAGGAAACAGCCCTTCCATTCCACTTCCCATACAGTCACATCCCCTCCGTGAATTGACTTCAGCAACGCTCAACTTTAACGGTTCCATTTAAAAGAGCAGCGGAGAATTTAATGGCATTCCAATGGGGCGTGGCAATTTTCTTCTCTTCAAAGCTATCCCTCATGCCAAGTTATCAATCCTTCCTGATCCCAGAAATCCTAACGTTCAGCACAAGCCAGAGAGATTTGGGAGGCTGTGCAAGTCAGGGAGAGGAAGATCGGCCATTTCGATAGGAGGAGAGGAGACATCTGTTTCAGTGGTGAACCAACGTCTGTATTTGGGGAAATCATGGCTTAAAAGAAAAGAAAAAAAAAGAAAAAAAGAAAAAAGCTTACCTGAAACAGACGGGTAAAAATATCGAATTCAAACACTGAAATGTAATCGTTGCATGTCAGGTCAATGGTTGATTTCAATGCCATGGCTTCCAGGCCGGAACTGATGGGGTGGACTTCATGTAGGGCTTGGCGGAAGGTTTTCCATGGGACAATGGTCCTAACAGTGGGATAATATATACATATACACACACATATATATATTGGGATGATTTCTTTTGCATCAAAAGGACTTAAAACATCTGCTAAATCAAACAAAAGACTCAGTTCACCCTGGCTTATTCAGCCAATCAGTTTCATATAGGACAGTGTTTCCCAACCTCAGCCATTTTAAGATGTGTGGGCTTCCACTCCCAGGGATCTTCTGGGAGTTGAAGTCTACACATCTTCAAGTGGCCAAGGTTGAGAAATACTGATCTGGAATATTGATTCTATCGCTCGGCTGGCTGGGGTCTTCTGGGAGTTGAAGTCCATACATCTTAAAATGGCTATGCTCTAGGAAGTCGCTGAACAACTGTCCCACTCATGCTTCCTAGCCATAAATATTCAAAGCTCACATCATTTCTGATACTGGACATTATAGTGTCTCCCATAAATTGCTCTTAAAACCATCCACATTAATGGGCCTTTTGTCCATGCATATAGATTCACAACCACAAGAATGGAAGTACACAAACGCAGTCCAAAACTGAACTGCTTTGAGAGAAACAATGTACAATTACTGAAAGCAAACATCAGTCATAATTTGTCCAATAACTGATTAAAGCAGCTACTGACGTTAACAGCAGTATAAAAGGAATGTCACGTAACTGCATCTCAACAAGATCTCTGACATCTAAGTAACTGTACTGAGATACTAAATGAAGGAAGTAATGAAGGAAGACCAACTGCTTGCAGGCAAGGTTATGAGTGCACATATTTCATAAGTCTTAATTTGCAGATATGCCGTGCGTATTTCGTATGGGAAAAACTTGAATCTGGAATGCGATCAAAATTAATCTCCAGAGATAAACATCTTAAGTTATGGCAGTCTAGCCTCTTGAGGCCAAGTGAAACATCAATTCCTCAACAAATCAACCATGAACAATTTTTCTCCCCAAAGTCAAACCTTCTGTCAAGGAAAGGGCAAGGCTGAAGATTGTCATGTGTGTGTGTGTGTGTGTGTGTGTGTGTATTTTAATCCTATAAGAGTGGAGGCTACGGTCAGATAATTTCAAAGAAATACTTGAATGGCTTCACCCAGTCTTGACAGTCTAGTACAGTGATGGCTAACCTTTTTGCCATCGCGTGCCAGGAGAGGGGGGAAGGGGGAGGGTCGCGCGCGCACGTACCCACGCGCATGTGTGTGCAACCCACTCCCCCCCCGCTCCTGGCACATGATGACCTGGTAGGCCCGTTTTTCTTTCTTACCTGGCTCCAGATCCTCTCTGTGTATCTGGGAACGGTGAAAACAGCCTTTCCCACTCCCTTGGAGGCCCTACGGAGGCTGAAAGGGCCCATTTCCCAACTCCCGGTGGGACAGGAAGGGACATTTTTTGCTGTCCCCAGCCTCCAGAACCTTTCTAGGAGTCTCTAGGAGCCTCTCTAGGAATCTGTAGTAGCCTCTTTAGGAGTCTCTGGAGGCTGGGGACAGGAAAAAACGTCACTTCCTGTCCCACCGGGAGTGGGGAAATGGGCCCTTTCAGCCTCCGTAGGGCCTCCAAGGGAGTGGGAGCCCTTCCCAGATACACAGAGAGGATCTGGGCCAGGTAAGAAAGAAAAACGGGTCCCCACGCCCCCCCAGGCCCTCCAGAGGCAGGTAACAGGTTTCCCTACTTCTGGTGGGCCCAGAAGGCCCGAAAATCAGCTGGCTGGCGTGCGCATGCGCCCCAGAGCTGAGCTGGCATGCTCACTAATATGGCTCCGCGTGCCACCTGTGACACGCGTGCCATAGGTTCGCCATCATGGGTCAAACTCAATTTTTACATGAGTGTCAAACTCAATTTTATTGAGGGCTACATCAGGGCTGTGGTTGATCTTGGGGGTGGGTGGGGGTGGCCAACTGGGTGGGCGTGGCCAGACACCACTCCAGACTGCTGGCATGTTTCCTCTTTGCATTGAGTAGTCCGGGCCAAAGCGACATGGGTGGGACCCTTACATTTTCCAGGGTGGCCCTGCGGGCTCATGGGCCTTGTGTTTGACACCTCTGTTCTAATAGCTTTGGGGTTCCATCTCACATATGTTGGAAAACCACGAGTGACAAAGCACTCCAGCTGTGAGTTGCCTGAAGAACTGCCAGAAGCCTAGCAGCTTATTTTGGGAATTGTACTTACTTCTCCTCAAAGGCTTTTCTCCAAAACTCGGCTGCATCTGCCTTCGTGATTCGGAAAGTGTCCCCTTGGAAGAGTCCATTTGGAAATATGCCTTTCAGTTCTGCCAGCATGTGGCTGAAGATCAGGGATAATTTGGTCAGGTTGCGCCTGCAAGGACAGAAAAACGCATCTTTGTAACTGTGAGGGCCCCCCCAGGATAGTGAGACGAGTGACATATCAATTAAACGAACAAATAAATGTGCCATCAAATGGGAAAGCGGCAATCAAAAAATGAAAGAAGAAACTGGAAGCGTTGATTTTTCAGGTCACATTTCGAGTTGGTTTTTCTAGCGATGGATTCTAATTCCCAGCAGTTTGGAAATTTAGCTTTACAGAACTTTACAAGCCCTCTTTGCCGTTTCAGGTGTTTTATTTGCCTAGCCAGAAGGTGCAATAAAAAGATGGCTAAAATGCTTTTGAAATAAGGCAGAAAAATGAGGACCCAGCTAGAAGTTTCAAGTCCTTCAATCAGTGTTATATAATAATCATCAGTCCGGACAGCATTTCATTCAGAAGAATTCCAATTGTGATTTAAGTACACTTTATTAGGCAAATTAAGGTTTGGATAACTGAGTGCGCAAGAGCCGTCACCTTCTGAGTACATACTCCCAGGTTACTCAACACAGGTGTACAAGAAAAGGGTAAATTTAGGGTGCAGAGGGGACTGCTTCTGTTAGAAAATTATCAGCCCCCACGGTCAGCAAGAGGGAGGCTCCTCTGTAACTGGTCTAATCAACAGTGCCAGATGACAGCCAAATTCAAAGGATAAGATTCTTCCTTCACTCTTACTGCCCTTCGGTTTTAAGAAGTGAGAACAGATACTCAGGGTGCTTTTAATCAACAAGGACGCCTCACATCCTGGACATCAACTGTTTCAACTCCTACCCTCAAAACAACGCTATAGAGCACTGCACATCAGAACAACTAGACACAAGGACAGTTTTTTTCCCGAATGCCATCACTCTGCTAAAAAAATAACTCCCTCAACACTGTCAAACTATTTCCTAAATCTGCATTACTATTAATCTTCTCATCATTCCCACCACCCATCTCCTCCCACTTACGACTGTATGACTGTAACCTGTTGCTGTATCCGTACGATTTATATTGTTTCCTAATATGATTTGATTGCTTATTTGTACCCTATGACTATCATAAAGTGTTGTACCTTATGATTCTTGATGAATGTATCTTGTCTTTTTATGTACACTGAGAGCGTATGCACCAAGACAAATTCCTTGTGTGTCCAATCACACTTGGCCAATAAAGAATTCTATTCTATTCTATTCTATTCTATTCTATCCTATTCTATCCTATCCTATCCTATCCTATCCTATCCTATCCATACACGTGGAAAGTACGGGTAGGACCCTCAAACCTATAGATTCCTAAAGCCCCCCCCCCCCCCCGTTTCTTTGCCCAAGGGTGATCTCTTCTGCTAGTGTCCTCGTAGTATTTGCTGGCCTTAAAGCAATATTATCTCTGGGCTAATTCAAGAGAATCTGACTGATGATGGCTTCTTTTGTTCCAAGAAAAAAGGAAGGAACAAGCATCAATTATGTTTGGAACTTCATGACCAAGTTGGGCTTAAAACATAAATAAAATGTTCAAGTGTCAAATGGAAAAAGCCCCTGGAAGAAACACCAGACAGCATAAATTAAACACGATGTGGCCTTTTACTTACAGAACTTATATAAAGCACCAAAGATATGTGAGGCACCTTCTAGATCAGTAACGGCTAACCTTTTTGCCATCGGGTGCCAAAAGCAGGGGGAGCGTGAGGGGGGGGTCACGTGTGCACATGCCCACACCCATAATTCTATGCACCACCCCCCCGTGAATGCGTGCACGACCCCCCTGCTTTTGGCATGCGATGGCCCGGTTTTCGCCCTCCCCAGGCTCCAGAGCCTTTCTAGGAGCCTGGGGATCGTGAAAACGGCCTCCTCCCCACCAGAGGCTGGAAATGTCCCATTTGCCGACTTCCAGTAGGACCGGAAGGCCCGTTTTTCACCCTCCCCAGGCTCCAGAGCCTTTCTAGGAGCTGGGGTGGGAGAAAACAGCCTTTCCCACCCCCCCAGAGGCCGGAAACGGCCTGTTTCCCGACTTCCAGTGGGCCCAGAAGGCCTGAAAATCAGTTGGCCGGCACACGCATGCACGCCAGAACTGAGCTCGCGTGCCCACCGATATGGCTCAGCATGCCACATGTGGGCACATGTGCCCATAGGTTCACCATCCCAGTTCTAGATCTTAAACCCAGAAGGAGCAGACATGTACACAAGAGCAGCAGCAGAAGAGAGCACTTTTATCTGTTGAGTAGACTGCAGCTGTGATGGAATTCCTCCTGTTTTAATTTTCAGGCAGTTAGCCGTGAGAGTGTTTATTCCGGGTTATTTTTTTCCCTTATCAACCACTGCTTTGGCACCATTCTCACTTTCTAATTAATATTACTTTCTCAAGGGGGACCTCCCAGAGAACCAAAGAACGCCTGTGAGATTCCCATGAGGGAGAGCTCGGAAAGAAGCGAGGGAAGCGAATGCTTCTAGGTAGCCAATCACTCTGGACGGTCTAAAAATACGACGCGAAAGGCGGCTGGTGAGATACGAGTCTTGGCTCTGGGCCAGAGCGGTGAGTCTCCCATCCAAGGAGGTGGAGTTGAGACTTCGTGCATCAACTCCTGAAGACAACCTAGCTTAACCAGACGCCAGAATTAAAAAGGAAAATTAACACCCTATTAAATATGCCACATCAAAGCAATTCTGGGGTTTTTTTTTCCACTTTTTTCTCTGCTTGGCTCTCCTCTTCAGTTCTTCATTACTTTCTGGCTCTAGATACCCTGCAAAAAAAAGTCAAGAGGTCAGCCAAGCTCTCAGCCCCACTGCAGCCTTTAGCAGGGCCTCATTTTCCTGAGTTCAGTTTTCTGCTGCTTTTGCCTCTGACCTGCAGAAGGCTGTTCTTTTCCGGCTTCCTGTTTGCTGGATAAAAAACATTCTACCATGATAACGGCTTGCCTTGCAGAAAGTCACTGGGATGTCAACCCATTCCGTCCTTCTTTGCACCCTTCGTAAATCTTTAAAACCATCCTTTGACGCATCCAACTAGCTCCTCCAGAACTTCCCAGGAGTTCTTCTGAGGTTTTTAGTCCATTTAACTGAGCTTTTTACATTCAGCAGAAAAAATTGAGCATGCCCTCAATCACGTTGGTGCCTCTGCAGAGAAAACATGTCTGCCTTGCCTCACCTTTCCTGAAATGATGCATCAGGACAATCATTACAAATCCAGATTAAGCAAGATTCTCAGATTATTTGGGGGAAGGGAGAGCCAGATAGCCTAAACTCTCTGGAATACAAGGCAGCTTCAAATAGAAAAGCACTAGGAAATCTCTCAGCAATTACTACCATATACTGCTAATTCCAAGGGATGCGGTGGCTCAGTGGCTAAGACACTGAGCTTGTCGATCGAAAGGTCGGCAGTTCGGCGGTTCGAATCCCAGCGCCGCGTAATGGGGTGAGCTCCCGTGACTTGTCCCAGCTTCTGCCAACCTAGCAGTTCGAAAGCACGTAAAAAATGAAAGTAGAAAAATAGGGACCACCTTTGGTGGGAAGGGAACAGCGTTCCGTGCACCTTTGGCGTTGAGTCATGCCGGCCACATGACCACGGAGACGTCTTCGGACAGCGCTGGCTCTTCATCTTAGAAACGGAGATGAGCACCGCCCCCTAGAGTCGGGAACGACTATAGCACATATGTGCGAGGGGAACCTTTCCCTTTCCCTTACTGCTAATTCCACTCATGACAAGCAGAAACTAAATTAAGGAAGGGAAAACATGCATAACAATCTACACTGAAACAGTCTGTAAACACTGCATAGAATTTCTCTCTTCTGGGCATAACGTTTTTTTAAAAAATATGTAGCAGCTACAGTACATGACAGACTAAAGGTATATTGGCATGCCATTTATATTTTAGGGCACCAAGTAAGGTTCATGATCTTCTACAATATTCCAGAGGAGAGCCTAAGGAATTTGCCAGATGTTATTATATACAGGTAAGACCTTGACTTGCAAGAGTTCATTTAGTAACCGTTCAAAGATATAATGGCACTTTAAAAAGTGACTCATGACCGTTTTTAACACTTATGACCAGAGGTCTTCAGACTTGGCAGCTTTAAGGCTTGTGGACTTCAACTCCCAGAATTCTCCCAGAATTGATGTCCACAAGTCTTAAAGCTGCCAAGTTTGGGGACCCTTGCCTATGACCATTGTAGCACCCCCAATTTTGGACCCAATTGTGGCCGTAGCTCCAGGACTACCTGTACTTCCCTAAGAGAAGAGCGAATGTCGTCGGCAAATTTAAAAGCAGCTCTAGCAGAACGCAAATCAAATTCAAATTAAACACGCCATTACTATTTCCACCTTAGCCCTAAAAAATCTACGCACTCGCACCGCCTTATGATTAGAATAAAATTCCTTACAGAAATCAGACTGCTCGTGTAAGGAAACAAATGGTGTTTTGACAAAACGATTGCATGTTTCAAAAGACAGGCTACAAGTTGGAAGACTGCGGATTGGGTAAACAAAACGAAGCATAACAAAACAAAACAAGAGGAGTGTTTTTTCAGATCTTAATAAATACAAATGTTATGAATGGGCTTAAAAGCACGAGAGGAGAGAAGAGAGCTCTGAAAAAATATAAATATCCTGCCTAAAAATAACAACGATGCTTCCTTGTTTACGTTTGGTGAGGAAGACTGAAGATGTACCTGGGGACAGCTTGTGTAAGCAAATCTGGTCCCCGCAATCGCTGTTTATTCAAAATGTCCAAACTCAAAAGACGGATGAGAGGAAACAAGTCTGCTGCCCCCACAGAAAGGTAAATTATTGTTGTTTCTACTGATCCGCACTGTTATTAGCTTTAAACAGACACCAGTTTCCCCCCTAGCCCCCTTTTTTGTTTCCAGGGAAGCCAGATGTGCTGGCTCAGGGGGGAAGGGTTCAATTCACAGACTGATAAAGATGCTGAGATGTTTAGAAGGGAAAGCCCAGTCTCTCCAATCAGGGGGGCAGGCTACAGGTTTGCCCTCATACCAAGAAAGTAAACCCACATAATGGCAACAGACACCACAATGGGAGGCATTTGGCCGGATTCTTCCATCTCAAGCTATGGATCGCTACATCTGGAAAGGACTCGATAATCCTGCATGCAACGGCCAGTTTTGTGATGTTATCTCAGTATGCTGTGCTTGCTTGATGCAACTGCGACTTGAATCCGATAAATGAATCTTAAGCGTCGACCTTTGACAGGCAGTTAACTAGGTGGGAGAATTAGGTTAGGGGGGCATTGGATCTCTCGAGGAAAAAGTATTGGGGGGATTCATTTAGTGAGCTTTTCTTGACAAATTAGAAGGTTGTCTAATCCCCAACCCTGGTCTGTGGACCAGTTTGAGAAGTGGAATGAAGTAGCCGTTAAGTATGATGAGTGGATGGAAAGTAACTAGTTGGAGCTTGTAATTTTACCATAAACATTTACTGAAGGTTTAACTTTGGAACTTTGCTCCACCGTAAGCCGTTAAGGTCTACTTTCACAATGAAGCATCAAATATGGAGACAGTACATTTTTTAAACACTCAGGCCTCACCAGAATGATGCCACCTGGGGGTTGTGTGCTTTTCGTCTCTGATCCAACTAACAGGTCCCACCAAGTTGGTTAAATTGGTGCCTGGCCCTTCCAATAACAGCATATTGCATGGAAGCTCCAACTACTGTGAATTCACCTCTCAGGAATGCTGAGCGGTCCTATTTAAAAATCCTATGTTGACATGTATACACTTCCTGCAGCTTCAGATCGTAATCAACTTTGTAAAAAAAAAAATAAAAAAATAATGCGCAACTACTCTCAAGTCAGCTTTTCAACACACAATTCAAAGTTCTACTTTGCTCCAAACAGCAGCATAGAATATGTTGCTTTTCTAGAGAAGTACAGGAAACTAAACGGAGGGTATAAATTTCATACAGATACAGGTAACTCTATTATTCTATGTTCTGTGTCACCATCAAGTGCCTATGTAAAGAACTATCCAACATCACTCTGATTTCGTGAACTAATTCCCCAATGCACTGGCATAAAATTCAGAGCACATGAATCAGCATAAAAATAAACACTTAACCATGGAACGTCCCTTAACATTAAAAACCAACACTAAATTTGTTTCTACAATAATCCCACATTCTATCTCGGTATCTAAAACAGCACTTCTATATCCTAACCTCCAAACTTCATCTCCTCCAGACCAGAGGTTTCCAACCTTGGCATCTTTTGGCCTGGAGGACACAACTCCCAGATTTATCCCGGCCAGCAAAGCGGCTGGGGAATTCCTGGAGTTTAAGTCCACCAGGCTTAAAGTTGCCAAGGTTGGAAACCTCTGGTCCAGACCATATCACCAGTAGCCATGGTTAGCTTGAGCTCACGGCAACTGAAGTTCCATTCATCGGGAAGTTTGGGAAAGATGGATCATCCGTAAAGGCTCACCCAACTTTTCATTTGTGATCGTGTTTAGACCCTTTGCAAGCCATTTTAAAAGAAAAGCTGGGACGGCAGAACGGGCAACGGGACGTGTTTTGCCCATTTCTCGCCCAAGTACCACAGACCCACATTTTCTTCATTCTTAAGGCAGCAAACATTTCACGTTTCTTTCTGACCATCTGGCAAGCAAAACGATTCCCCCCCCCCCCAAACGGGCAGCTTCGGAACTTTCCCTAAGAAGCGCTAATTGAAATGCAGAAGTTGGTTGTACCAGTCGGCTACGTCCTGGAGGGCATGGTTAATTTGAAGGAAGGGGCAGGCGGTGTTTTCGGACAGGCTGCCTCAACAACCCCTTATGGTGTTTTCCTGATCCAGAGCCGCACCTTAAGAAGCAAAATGATTAGTAGCGGACTTGCTTCTGAATGGTGGGGGGGGGGATATCTAATGCTTCGAGTACATTAAACACGATAGCCGTGCATATTTCAAAAACAAAAAAAAGCCTGAATAAGACCAGCTTCCTTCCTATGTGGAGCTGCCCATATTTTATAGATATAAACACACTGGGTATATCTGCAGCTTTTCCCTGTATGGATTTGTTCCTCTAGGCCCAACAGCTAAAGACAAGCATGAAATCTTGCAGAGACAGACAACTCCCCCCCCTTCCCGGTCTCACCACAGGACGAGGCAAGGAGCTCAATACATTGGCTACTATTGGCTTTAAATGCTCATCACCTCCCACTATGCCAAGTGATGTTTTCATTTTAAAACGAAGGGGGTGGAGGGAGAGAGAGAATTTACAAATCCCGAGAAACCATTTCTTTAGAATGTACCGTCCTCCATGTTACAGTGAAATCCTATCATCAACAGCTGCCTTGTTAAGACCAGCTGCCTGCAATTACTGCAGGTTCGAATCTCGCCAGGCTCAAGGTTGACTCAGCCTTCCATCCTTTCTAAGGTAGGTAAATTGAGGACCCAGTTGTGGGAGCAATAAGCTGACTTTGTATAAATATACAAAAAGGATGAAGGCTATTGCTTAGCGCATTGTAAGCCGCCTTGAGTCTCCGGAGAAGGGCGGCATATAAATCAAATTAAAAAAAAACAAAAAACAGCTGAAACCTTGACCTCCGAGCAAGGATTGAGGCATTAATTTTTACGACCCATGTTCAAAACCAAGCAGTACCCTCTAAGGGATCAGGATTCAGGCAAATCCCTTGCAGAACTCTCCGAGGATAAGACTGGCTGTTAAAAAAACAAGCCCTGATCCGTGTTTATCATTTGCAAGGTACCAACAAGATATTTTCTCCAGTCTCTTGCGTCTCATCCTTGGCTCAAGTAAGCAACGGGGAAGGCTGGGGGTCTTAGGAACAAACCCTACTCCAGTTGCAAATGTACACAACAAATGACTCACAGCAATGATCAAAGGGCTTCCTCTCCCTTAACCATAACTACTTACTCTGTACTGTTCACTGACGCCGTTTGAGGTAACTAAGGCTTTATTGAATTCCTGGCATCCTAGCCAGAGATGGCAACTGACTTACATACCACAAAAAAAAAAAAAAAAACCTTAACTATGACTTTTTAAAAAAAAAAAAAATAAATACATGAAAACGTCGTTTGACAGCTTCCAAGGTCTTGAAGACACCAAAATTCTCCACGTAAAACTAGCCCAACCTTCCCTGGACATCAGCTTCTGCACGTCAAGTAGCAGAAAGTGCTTCTGGCTTAAAGTGAAACTAAGCTCAAAGAACAGCTCTATTTATGGCTCTAACCACAAGGCTCGATGCTTTCTTCATTCTGAAGGTAGGCCGTGCAGAAGTGGAAAATATTGCTTGCGCTGTGGTAACCGTGAAGCCCCGGGGTTATTTATTTACAGCATTGCCCCAAACGGCGTTGCAAAGATGCTCCATTTATAAAGTATTATTTGACATTGTCTCAGCACTCTGTTGGGAACTGGGGTGGGGGGGGGCGTGGGGGGGGCAGCTGGGATGCTACATCAACATTAAGAGATGGGTTTTTATGAACACAGCTCGGCCTGCCACCTCTTCCCACGTGTCTTCCAGCATCAATCCACACTCAGAGGCAGCGCCTCCATCTCAAAAATCCCATTGTCATCTGGAAGCTTAATCCCTAATTTAAAAATGTAATCACCGCAAGATGAAAAAGCTCTTCAAAGCAGGCTGGAAATTGCCTGTTCCTCCTGCAAAGTATAAAAAAAAACAAAACCCTGCATTTCTTTGATAGAGCTCTCTCTGAGGAGCCTACAGAGAAAAGGTGGCTGGTAAAAGATTAGAATAAATAGATGGAAAAGCTTCTGGATATTGAATGCATCTCCAAGTTGCCTAGAGAAAATAATAGGGCACGTTTTAGCCTAAAGTTAAAAGATACATTCCTTTCTGACCTGACTTCCATTGTCTGTACCCAAAGGTGCTTTTTCTAAAGGCAACTGGAATTCCTTTGTTTTGCTTGAAGACGTTTTGCTTCTCATCCAAGCAGCTTCTTCAGTTCTGACTGAATGATGGAGCTGAATGGAACTGAAGGACCTTCTTGGATGAGAAATGAATTGTCTTCAAGAAAAACGAAATCCACTTGCCTTTTGAAAAAGCACTTTTGGGACAACCATGACCTGGATGACCGAGAATCTCCATAGACATTCATTGTCTGTACTTGCTTAACGTGATGTAATTGTATTGGTGGATACTTTATTTGGACAGTCCTATGCACTACATGGGCACCTCAGCATTTCAATAAAGGAGAATATTTGTAGCTCAGGGTTGAATTGAGGGGTCCCTGGTGTACTCCGAGCTTGGTGGTTTTCTTGCAGTCGTGTCATTACGCAAACTAGGTAGCATCATTGGCACTGATGTTATCTAGTTTGGGTAATGACACGTCTGCAAGAAAACAACCAAGCTCAGAGAGACCCCATATCAGCATTTCTTTACTAATTTTGCAGAGCATTAGCTAGTTTACCAACCGGACTCATTTTTGCACATAATCTATCTTGCAAATCCCGGCTTCAAGATGTAAGGGGTTTTAAACTAAAGCATGGACATGGAGATTTCAGTGAAAATGAGACGAGCAGAGCAGCACCTCCAACTCAAACTGTTGAGCTGCCAGAGAAACATAAAATTCAGGGGAAAACCAAAAGTTGAAGCAAAAGCATACCGAGACAAGGAATTTGGAAAGAAGCAAGGGGACTTCCCCAGATCCAGGCGTGCTCTAGAATACTACGGATAAATTCCAGCACAAGCCAGCATTACCTAGGCTGGGAATTCTCTTCATACATTCTTTCTTTTCCTTCCTTAAAGAGGCTGATGGTTTGTTTTGTCTTCTTCATCAGGTTTTCCATAAACACCCGGAAGTATTCGTTCTCTCCCAGAGTCTCCATCTTTCCCTCGTAGCAGGACAGGATGGTTCGCAGATGCTGGTAGGTGTCGGGAAGGAGGTCTAGAATGTAGGGAGGACTGTTCTTTAGTGCCAGCTTGGGGTTCTGACATAAACGCACAACCTAAGAAGTGTAAAGAGCAAACATAAACAAATGTAAAAATGCCTTCCGGAGGGTCGGCGCCGTTTTGAAATTTAAGAATGCATTCTCACAATAACAGCATGCTTTAATGAAGTCTCAAAAACGTGACGAGTGAGAGGTTGAACCTACAAGCTACGAACTCCGATTCACAAATTTTAAACCTGCAAAAAGTTCTTATTCAGGCCACACCGCATACTAATCTCAAAACTCGAGGTGAGACGTCTGTGGTGTAGCCTACCCTTCTGCCACAGAAACTTCTCCCACAAAGACATTAATTAAGATGCTATTTAAAAGTTGTTGAAGTTACTCCTATTCCATCATCAGCTTTTTTGAGACTGTGTGCACAAAGCACCAAAATAGTGACGCCAAGAAAAAGGTTTCACTTAAGAGAGAAATGTACTAGCTTCTGGACTTCCTCTGTCCGCTTCAAAAGTGGGGTCTTACAAAGTTAGATTTCTAACCCAATTATCAGTGGAGCACTTTGGTGGGTGACAGTCACCATGTTTTTACTCAGCTCTCTGTAAGGGTTCATGACCCAGAATCATCGGAGGAGGAGAAGGAACGGGGCACTGATACCTTTGTCCAAGGATCTGCTAACCTACACTTGGCATTATTGTAACTCTACAAAGCTCAACAGCTCTTCGAGACCGCCTTCTACCGCATAGCTCCCAACGACCGGTAAGATTCCCACAGAGTTGGTCTCCTCCGGGTCCTGTCAGCTAAACAATGTCGGCTGGCGGGCCCGCAAGGGAGGGCCTTCTCTGTGGCTGCCCCGGCTCTCTGGAACCAACTACCTCCTGAGGTCCAGACCGTCCCCACCCTATTGGCCTTCCAGAAAGCGGTGAAGACCTGGCTTTTCCGGCAGGCCTGGGGCCGTTGATCTCGCTGTTGCAATCTTGCGAGATCCGGCCATGAATGGAGTGTATGGGTTTTTAATGTTTTTTTTAAACAACTTTTAGGGTATATTGTTCGCATTATTTTTTGTTGTAAGCCGCCCAGAGTCCCCAGGGAGTTGGGCGGCATAGAAATGCGACAAATAAATAAATAAACAGGTTATAGCAACACTTGGAACAGGAGAGGGAGGAAGACCAAGGAACAGCAGCTGAGCAGAGGGCGTGTGACCACTGGAATATTTTGCAAAGCTCCTCTTAGGGTGAACGGTTCGTCGATATATAACACTGAAACTTTCTGATACTCAATAAGTTTTAAAAAAAAAAGACCTGATGAAACAACAGCCTTTGATTTTACTACAAGAGTTCATGTTTTGCTATTTGACACAATGTGCTAAATCTGGGATGGGGGAAGAAGGAGCTACTGTATGTAGACCACTGCTAAATTGCAAATATTAGAAGGCTAATGAGAATAATTTTAAAGCACAGATAGGATTTGGCACCTAAACTATCAAAAAGGAAATGGGCTATGGAAACAGCGAATGAGTTATTTTTATCAGCTGTAGCTTTAGCTGACCAGTCCGTTTAATACAAGCAAGGGTATTGTGCATCCAAAATATCACATTATTCTGTTCTAATTCTACAAATCCTTCCTTAGGAGCTAGGTAGAGCAATGTTTCTGAACCTTGATAGCTTTTAGATACGTAGACTTCAACTCCCAGAATTCCGCAGCTGCCTTCCCTAACTAAAAGAATAATCTGCCTGGAAGATTCTCAAACAATAAATCAACATTCAAGAAATGTTGCTGCTACATTTTGGGAAACCATCAATTACTATGCGTATTTAACAGCTGCATTTTTCATATCAATGGATTTTAACAAGACTCCCAAGTCCCAATATAAATCTAATAAAAGAAAAAGAAAAGAAGTATGGGCTTGGCCAGCTTTTGTAATGACCAATTTTCTAGCTATCACTTCTCAATAAGATTTATCGTTCACCTCATTCCTCAGATGTAGTCTGCATTTTTCTTTTAAAAATATGCACATTGTGACTAAAATTCAAATAACTCCAAGCCACTGCACAACTCCCTGCAATCCAATGTGACTCTGGATTTGTTAAAACCTCCAGAATAATAACTTGTATATGGTTTAAAGATCTAGAGTTTAAAATGTAAAGAACAAAGTGCTCCAAGATACCATTATATAAATTTCTTAAATAGGCTAACAAAGAAAGGGCACAATGCAATCAAAACAACTATGGATTATACTTCAGCTCGAGTTTGATCATGTTTTCATTAAAAAACCTTTAAAACCATGTAAACATGTGCTAAAGTATAGAACAAAAATGCATTTATTTTTGTAAAGCCATTCTATATTCTGAATAGCTCAAAGTGAAGATGATTCACTGACAACAGCATTATCTAGGAAATCAAAAGCAACAAAAAATCATGTTCCTGCGTCAGAAATAATGGGAAATGGAAATATGCCACAGACGCCATAAATCTAATTACTATATACATCATACATGAATTCTCATGACTTCTAGGAAACAAATACCAAAAATAACCATCTCCTGTGAAAAGTTAACAAGTCAGAAAAGTAAGGGCATATTACTTTTCATTAGTATTAGCTATCATTTAGTTCAATTAGTTACTTTCAAAGGGTAGAACATAAAATCCAATTTTCTCTTAAAGCAATTTAAGAACAGCTATTCAGTATCAGTAGTTATAACTTTAATAGTTGTATTAAAGTTCATTTTTGTCACAGAACCTTAGCAATCCTAAACTCATGATTTCTAACCCAAAACCGTATAATTCAATGGAAGCAGAGCGTATAAAGATGCAGCAGTAAGATTTTAAAGAATACCAAATTTATTTCAAAGAGTAGAACAGCTATATAAGTAAGATGTTTTATTGCTGATATATCACTCCAGTCTCGATTGCTAAAATAAATAATTCATTTCCCAAATTTAATTTCAATTGAAAACCATTGTGGAACAACTTTCATATATGGAGTTGTGCCACATCCAAAATTTGGGTATTAAGAGTTTATATTCTATCTCTATGAATGATTTATAGTGCTGTACTGATTTAATGCATTATTCACTACCCATATTTTCTCTTAATTATTTGCACTGGGTTAACTAGCATCTTTAAGATTTAATACAGATGCTTGAACTTTGATTAGAAAATGGATATTAAATATTTTATCATATTTATATGGCCACCTATTGCCAAAGAAGTGACTTTAGGTGGCTAAATCATTAGCAAATACCAGCGTTTCTTGACCTTGGTGACTTTAAGATCTGTGGATTTCAACTCCCAGAGCTGTGCTGGCTGGGGAATTCTGGGAGTTGAAGTCCACAGATCTTAAAGTCGCCAAGGTTGAGAAATGCTGGCCCATACTATATTTATGCTCCTTCCTTGGCTTTAACAGATAGCTCTTAAGGACAAGTAACTTCAACAACAAGAGGCTCTTCACCAAGTATTAACCTCATAGCAATAATTATAGTCAAGTATTATCTGATCACATCAAGGTTTCTATCATGATCATTGAGATAAAATTAAGAGAGTCTTAGTCAATCAAAATAAAGCTACAGGAAGTGATGGTTTGGTTGGGCTGTATTCACACTGTGTAGGGACTTAGTACAGGGCATGATAATATCATTATATGAATTACAAGTTTATTAATGACATCATGGCACCGAGGGCATCATTTGACTCGTGGCTGCCCAAAAAGATGTGATAGCTGGCAGCCTTACATTTTAAAATGGAAACATTTTGCATTGACAATTGTGTGATTCTGTGAAAAGTGTGCCTTCTTGAAAACTTTCCCGGTTTGAAAACAGATTGCTATCTTATCTTCAGGGAGACAAGGAGTAAAGCATAAACATTTAAGTTGTTGCTCAATATTCTAAAGAAAGGAAAAAGAGGAAACAACAAAAACATTATTTCAAGTCACATGAACTGGTGAGCTCCCTTCAACACTGATTGACCTACCATGCTTCACCTCTCTGCAGCATTCTTGCTCCAGTTCATGCATATGAAATAGGTTATTAGCTACTGTACTAGCTAAATATTTGCTAATTAGGTCCCCGATTGTTTTATTTTTTCAATGCACTCCATAGGATTCAAAAAAGCACATTTTAACTGGCATGCCATTTTGCTGTTGGCCCCTCAAGTTCCACTCATTTTTTTTAGCAACCAAACTATCCAGCATAATGTTGTAAAGATACACTGGCCTAAAAGCTTGCCAAAATTCAGAAATCATTCTTTAGCTTGTAACGTGATGGTTACATCTTCTATCCTTGGAAAACTTTCTAATTTTGCTAGACCCAATTCCTCAAATACAGTATTTAGGTGGCCTCTTCTTATTTTTTAACATTCTCATTTCAACTGTTACACATCAGCTATATTAGTATATCATCTACACAGCTTTAATACTGAAACAACACATTAGGTTTATGAATGAACCAAAAATCTATTACAGTCCAAGACCTGATGATGCATCAGACCAGAGGTCTTCAAACATAGCTGGCTGGAGAATTCTGAGAGTTGAAGTCCACAAGTCTTAAAGCTGCTAAGTTTGAGGAAGGCATTAGACTATTATAAGCCTAATAGTTGCACATATCAGGACCAAACAATTAACATAAAATAGAAAAAAAGTCCCATCCATGTTATCTGGCTAAAACATACAGGGCAGCTGGCTATAGGCAGAAGAACTGATTTTTCCTCCCATGCCAAGCATACCTTAGCTCAAATGTTAAAATGTATATAACAATATAAAGAAACAGATGTGCAAACAAGCATACCCATAAACATTGAAACATGCATTTTTCCTCAATAATATGTGCCACCCTAAGAAAGTCCCTGCCTTCTAAAACCCACAGTTGAAACATTCATCCCAACGATCTGCAACTTCAATACAAGTGAAAATGTCTTGGCATCAAATCAGCCTATTTGACTAGGGTGGCTTATAAAATTGAAATAAAGAAATAAATTTCCAGGCCACATCATTAGTCCAAGGCCTTTAATGCAGATTCTTATCAAACCTTTCATGGCATCTAAAGTTTGTTCTGAAGCCAAATTTCCAGTTCTCCAATATCTCAACTTCCCAGAACCCGACCTACAACTATTTCCTTCTTTCCAGATAAGACAGCCTTCTCTCCTCGGGATATTCACATTCAGCCAAAGAATAAAGCAGAATGTAACTGCTTTTTTTTGCCTGCATTGATTTCATGTTCCTTTTGCTCTTCCTCACTTCCTTCCCTCGCCTGCTAAATTAAGATCAGCTCCTCAGGACAGGAACTTGTTTGCGATTAGCAGCAGTTGCAAAATAACCAATGCAGACTGACAGTTTTGTATCATTCTCACTCCCAAGAAGACTTGAGCTTGGGCTCATACACTAACACTATAACATCCCAGCCAGCCAGCAATCCATCCTATCTTACTTTTTTTCCTATGCTATACTGGAGACCCCTCGTTATCTCCATTTCTAACACAAAAAAAATATCTATAGCTCAGGAATCTTGGGGTCTCAGAGAGTCTCCCACAACTCCATTTCTTACTAGCCCAGTCTACGGACCTGACCCTTGCATGCACAGATGGAATCTCATTTCCCTTCCAATAAGGATCTTATTACGATGGTGCTCGGTCGCACAGTCAGCCAGATGTTTAGGCTGGATTTGGAATTTTGGTCTACTTATCTCACCCAAGGACATGGGACAGGTAGATGCTGTTGCTTGATGGCGCTAAGAGGTACCATTGCAGGATGTCAGCTGTTGCAAGTCAAGCTGCCTTTTGCAATTGACCGATGGGGATTGTGTCAATGCCGATGGTATTCAAGTGGTGCTCCAGATGTTTTGGGGTTGTACCCAAGGCACCTATCGCTTTTGCTTTCTTTTGCTTATTAGGACAGTCAGCTGCACAGTCAGCCAGATGTTCAGACTGGATTTGGCCCTTTCTATTCACCTAGGACCTGGTGTAGTCACAGGTGGATGTTTTACGGTGTCAAAAGGTACCCTTGCATGATGGAAGCAGTTCCCAGTCAAGCTGCCTTTTGCAACGGACAGTCAGGGACAGTCAGGCGCAGAGTCAAACCAGATGTTCAGGCTGGATTGGGCCTTTTTTATCCATCCACAAGTCCTTCCCAAGGACCCACCATAGGTAGATATTGTCATTTGATGGTCTTAAACATATAGAGGCAGATTGTAAGCTGCTCCAAGCCTTTTGCAATTGATTGCTATTATTATATTATTTGGCAATGCCTTCCCTACCTTAAAATGTTAAGTTCCGGAGCTCGCAGAATGTCTGCTTCTTTCTTTAGTAATATACCTGGAACTTGTATTTTTAGAATAGTTTGTCATACATACATACACACACACACATACATACATATATACAGGTCTCCTGCATGAGCAGGGGGTTGGATTAGATGACCTTCAAGGTCCCTTCCAACTCTGTTACTGTTACATACATATATATACATATATATGCATATACGTATGTGTGGTGCAGATATATGTATGTATATAGCATGTGTACACGTGTGTTATGTACATGTTTGGGTAGATATACTGGAGATATATATATATATATATGAGAGCAGGTAACAGAATTTCATTTTTAATTCTGGCAGGTGCGCTCGCAGTAAAAAAAAAAAAAACACAATAAAAGTTACCCATCTTATCTAATTTAGAGAAGCTCTCCAAAAACCCAGGGCTGTACCCCAGCCACCCCACACTCCACGCGGCTTCCTTTGCAAGAATTCCCCACCGCACCCCTTGGAGGGGGGAAGGAAGGGAGAAGGGAGGGGCAATCCTTTGGGTGCTTGTCCCCCCCTTCCTCCCCTCCTCAGAAGCCCCCACCCCACATGGACGCTGCCCTCATGCCCCCCCACCTTGGGCCACCCCTGGAAGCCTTTCGCACCCCACCCCATGGCCAGGGCCCGAGCCTGGGGGGAGGAGGGGCGAAGGGCGGGAGGGGGGGAGAAAGGAGGGAAGGGAGGGAGAGAAGGAGACCGGGGCCCGCTCCCTCCCTCCCCTCCTCCCCCTCCCCTTGTCCATCAGCTTCCAGCATTTGGGGGGATTGGGGGTGAAGGGCGGGGGGGAAAGAAGGGAAGGGAGGGAGAGAAGGAGACTCCCCCCCCCCGCTCCCCCCCCTCCTCCCTCTCCCCTCCCCTTGTCCATCAGCTTCCAGCACTTTGGGGGAGTGGGGCAAGTGCGGGGGGGGGGAAAAGGGGAGGGGGGGGGCCTGCCCCCCGCTCCCCCCCCTCCTCCCCCCCCCTTGGCCATCGGCTTCCAGCCCTTGAGGGGGGGGGGGGCAAGTGGGGGGGGGGAAAGGAGGGGAGGGAGGGAGAGAAGAAGACTGCCCCCCCGCTCCCTCCCCCCTCCCCCTCCCCCTCCCCTCCCCCCTCACCTTGTCCATCAGCTTCCAGCACTTCTCGACCATCTTCTTGTCCACGGTGCAGGGCTGGTGGGGGCCGAGGTGGTGGTGGTGGGGCTGGAAGGCGTCCTTCATGAGGCCGATGAGGCCCCCGGGGCCCTTCTTCACAGGGGCAGCCATGGGGACGGGGGTGGGGGGGGGAAGGGAAGGGAAGGAGGCGGCCTCAGCGACGACACCCCCGCCGGGCCCCTCGAGGAGGCTGAGGGAGCTCAGGCGGCTTAAAGCGGGGTCCTTTTCCCGTCCTGAGGGCCCGGCTCGGGCAGCGTCGGGCCGGGCTGAGGGGAAGCGGCTCCACGAGCGCCGGGGACGCGCCCGACTGACGAAGAAAAGGGAAGTGGGGAGGGAAGGGGGGGGAAAGGAAGGGCAGGAAGGGCTGCGGCGCATGCGCGCCGGCGCGAGCCTCTCCGGGCGGAGCCTCCTGATTGGCTGGGCGGACCGGAGAGGCGTGGTGTTTGTGTGTGTGTGTGTGTGACTGAGAAGGAGAGGAAGGAAAGCGGGCGCTGCGCGAGCCTCCTCGAAGGGCGGCGCGCTGCCATTGGCCGCCCAGAACGCCTCTCCCCCCACCTCCGGCGGAAAAGTTCTGCTCTGATTGGTCCAAGGTTTCGAGAATGCCTTCCCCCCCCGCCACCCTTAGAAAAGCCGTTTTCTGATTGGTCCGTGCAAGGAAAGGGGGCGGGGGCGCCCCACCTTTCTCTTTCTCCTCACGTAAAATCGGCGCTGGCTCGCGAGCGGGAAGAAGCCGGGCTTTAAACGGCCTCTGTCCCATTATGCCGGCCGTTTATTTCTTTTTTTTTTTTCCCGAAGGACACCCGAGAAGCCGACACTTCCATCCCAGGCAGGACAAGAGCATCAATTCCTCGCTCTGCCCACGCCCACCCGGCGTCTGATTAGCATAGCCACGCCTCGCCGTGCGTCTTTTAAATGTCTTCGGGTGCGCCATAAGAGCCGAGTGCGCGTGCGCCTTGAGGGCGTGTGTGTGTGTGTGCGGAGGCATGCGCAGTACTGCGAAAGGAGGCTCGCGATGCCATGATGAAGTCGGGCAGCCCGGCTCTATTCTGTAAATAAAAGAGACTGCAGGATTGAGCAACCGACGGTAGAAAAGTGCAAGTTATGCAATTTGCTGGCTTAATGCAGAGCTACTTTCCCTGCTGCCAGTCTATAAAAAATTTATAATGGCAGAAATCAAATTACTTCTTGGGTTTTAATTCTGAATACAGCTAGCTGGTAACTGGAAGGCACAGCCAAGGATAGAAAAAAATGCAGAGTGACTTGGATTTCCTTTCTAAAATCAGATCAAGAACAGGATAAAGAGAGTTGGAAGGGACCTTGGAGGTCATCTAGTCCGACCCCCCACCCAAGCAGGAGACCCTACACCATGTCTGACAGATGGCAGTCCAGTCTCTTCTTGAAAGCCTCCAGGGATGAAGCTCCCACAACTTCCGAAGGCAACTTCTGCTCCATGGGTTGATTGTTCTCTCTGTCAGAAAATTCCTCCTTATTTCCCGGTTGAATCTCTCTTTGTTCGGTTTCCATCCATTACTTCTTGTCTGGCCTTTGGGGGCTTTGGAAAATAGCTTGACCCCCTTCCTCCTCTCTGTATTGTTGTGTAGGAAGTTAGCACCCACCCCTTTCCTGGAAGAGTGAAATATTTTAGGAAATATGAAAAAGGCAGAATATTATATTTCCCTGGGATAAGCATGTTTTGAAGCAGCTCCCATCTTCCTGCCTCCACCCTTTGTCAATGGGCCATTAAGGCCTGGGCCAGTCTATTCTACATAACAAAGATCTACCTCCTTCAGGCAGAGCCATAGTAGGAATTGCCAAAGATCCAACAAAGATAGGATTAGCCCTCTACACAATAGCAGCAGAAACTCACCACATGTGACCTGGGAAGCACATGTGACCATCAGCCAGCAAGGCTAGCTAAGACCCCCACCCCCTGGGAGTCTGACAACCAACCAGGATACTCTTTCTGGGCCCCAGGAAGTTCAGAGCCAGGGAGAGCATAAAAACTCAGGGACTCACTGTATCTGCCCTTTTCTGTTCAGGAACTCAAGCCATGTGATCCTGTCCACCATTAAACCATCTTTCCAAGCAGTCTCCATGTTTCCAGTGTCTTTTTCCCCACTTGGAGCAGAACCTAGAAGGAGATTTCTTCCAACAGTTGTTAGTTGCGAAGTTGTGTCCGACCCATTGTGACCCCATGGACAACGTTCCTCCAGGCCTTCCAGTCCTCTACCATCTCCCGGAGACCATTTAAACTCACGCCGACTTCTTCAGTGACTCCATCCAGCCACCTCGTTCTCTGCCGTCCCCTTTTTCTTTTGCCCTCAATCTTTCCCAGCATTAGGCTCTTCTCCAGGGAGTCCTTCCTTCTCATTAGGTGGCCAAAGTATTTGAGTTTCCTCTTCAGGATCTGGCCTTCTAAAGAGCAGTCAGGGTTGATCTCCTCTAGGACTGACCGGTTGGATCGCCTTGCAGTCCAAGGGACTCGCCGCAGTCCAGAGCTCCTCTCTGTGGCAGCCCCTTAAATATTGGAAGGCTGCTATCCTGTCTCCCCTGGTCCTTCTCTTCACTAGACTAGCCATGCCCAGTTCCTGCAACCGTTCATCGTATGTTTTAGCCTCCAGTCTGCTAATCATCCTGGTTGCTCTTCTCTGCACTCTTTCTAGGGTCTCAGCCTCTTTTTTATAGTGTGGTGACCAAAACTGGATGCAGTACTCTAGGTGTGGTCTTACTAGGGCTTTATAGAGTGGTATTAGTACCTCCCTTGATCTTGATTGTTTCCCTCTGGGAATGCAGTTTAGGATTGCGTTGGCTTTTTTGACTGCGGCCTTACCCTCCTGTTTCTCCAGACTCTCTCCCATAAATCCCAGCCAGTGTGGCTTTTGGGCTCCAGACTGAAGAAAGCTGTCTTAAACTCAAATTCTTTGCAAATTTTACAAAAATCTGGAGAGTCACGCTTCCTTCTGACAAGGGAACAGAACAATGCAAGGAAAATATGGAAGTGGCTGATAAAACAGAAGTAAGGCAACAAAAAGAGAAACGAAGGCGTCAGGAGAAGTTTTGGACTGACGAAATATCTTCATTGGCCTTCTTTCCGATAACAAAGAGGAAGTGATCCAAGAGGAGAAGATCAGGTTTAGAGGGTGTCTTGGGTAAAGAAAATGGAGAAAGATCTGGGTGAAAGATCCACTCAGTGGCTCAAGGAAAAGAGTTTGTTTTTCTCCAGAAGTCCTAGGTGGCTTCGGGAGAAAGTGACTTTTATATGACTTTTCGAGATTCAAAACCAGGAAGCGAGACGAACGTTGGTGAACTCTCCAACTCTTCCATTGAGGAAGGGGATCCTAACACTGGTGGAAATAAAACCCACCATGTTATACAACCTCTCCCCCACACCCTCATTTCACGGTCTCTGTTTCTGTCGCTTCCCTCTGAGAGGAGATTTCGAAGTATCTCTAGCAGGACTTCCAGATACTGGAACAGTTCCCTAGCCTAAGCCATCCGTCTGGTCAATTCCCAAGATTCGTTTCTCTCGCCACGGACATGTATACATCCGAATTAGACTGTGTTTATATCTTCTCATATAATATATGTGGGTATATGCATTATTTTGTATTTATTTATTTATTTTGTCATGTTCATGTAGTGTATATTGGAGGTGGAGACCCTTTGAGAGCTGCAGGCAACGAAATTTCATTTTAATGTATGCCGATCAGTGTACATTTAAAGTGACAAAGTGATTCTATTCTATTCTATTCCACATTCTATTCCATTCCATTCCATTCCATTATTCTATTCTATTCCATTATTCATTACATAGGGCTCCCCTTGAGGAGCACCCGGAGGCTCCAACTGGAGCAGAATGCAGCCGCGCGGGTACTTATGAGGGCGACATGGCGCTCCCATGTAACACTTCTCCTGCGCGAGCTGCATTAGCTTCCAGTGGTCTTCCAGGTGCGCTTCAAGGTACTGGTTTTCATCTTCAAAGCGCTCCATGGCTTAGGGCCCGGTTATTTACGAGACCACCTTCTGCCACCAATAACCTCCCACAGAGAGGGCCTCCTCAGGGTGCCGTCGGTCAGGCAATGTCGGCTGGCGACCCCCCGGGGAAGAGCCTTCTCTGTGGGGGCACCCGCCCTCTGGAATGAGCTACCCCCAGGGATACGACTGATCCCGGACCTCCGAACCTTTCGCCGGGCTCTGAAAAGGTTCCTATTTCGGCAAGCCAGGCTGGCTTAAAATTTTTATTGGTTTTATGGGTAAGGGGTTTTAAATTGGGGAAAGCCATTAGGGATTTAATTTTGTTTTAAATGTATTTTAATGTTTATATTGTATGTTTTTTAATCTTGGCTGTTCACCGCCCCGAGTCCTTCGGGAGATGGGACGGTATAAAAATTTTATAAATATTATTCTATCCATTCGATTATTCATTATTCTATTCTATTCTATTCTATTCTATTCTACCCTACCCTACCCTACCCTATTCTTCCCATTCCATTATTCATTATTCTATTCTATTCCATTCCATTACCTGGACTCCTTTGGGCAATGCAGCCCTGTAGTGTCTATTCTGCACTACATTACACCTGGTGTTTTTTCAAGTCCTACCAGATCTGCAGGACTCTGCTGTGGAGAGGACCTTTGATGGCAGGGCCGACACAACGGTCCAAACTGTGTGTAAATTTTCAACACTCCGGGCAGAAAATTAGAATGAGCAGAGGGCGAGGGAGTGAATTTAAAAATTAGGCTATGCACTTCAACCCAGAAGACCGAATCTGTTACCGCTGTCTCCGTTTAATTAGTTGCCTTTTTTTTCCTCCCCCACCCTGAAAAAAAGAAGAAGAAGAAGGAAGAAGAAGAAGAAGAAGAAGAAGAAGAAGAAGAAGAAGAAGAAGAAGAAAACGAAAAGAAAACGAAAAAGAAAAAGAAAAAGAAAAAGAAAAGAAGAAGAAGAAGGAAGAAGAAGAAAAAGAAAAAGGAAAAAGGAGGAGGAGGAGGAAGAAGAAGAAGAAGAAGAAGAAGAAGAAGAAGAAGAAGAAGAAGAAGAAGAAAAAGAAAAAAGAAGAAGAAGAGGAGGAGGAGGAGGAAGAAGAAGAAGAAATTCCAACAAAACATTTGGCCCGAATCTCAAAATCCTTTCTTTGCTGAACAGTTCAATGCTGTTGAACTCTTGTGGGGTTTTTTTGAGGTTTTTTTGCTAAGCTTTCCTTGGTCACCATGGCAGCCAAGAAGGGCTGTTGCCACGCAACACCGAAAAAAAACACAACTCGGATCCCAGGGAGGGGCGTGCTAAAATCCAGACGCTTTTTCTGGCCCTTTTTTTTTTGTACATTGGACGCTTGTGCTGTCGCCACAGCAAACGTTTGCAATTATATGGTGGGGGGGAAAAAAACCTGCCGCCACCCGTAAAGACCCCCTCGGGTTTTTTTTTCCTACCAGGTGTGAGACGCACATTTGGACTGCTGCACTGGTTCAAGGCTCGAGGAGTGCGGAGCGTGAATTTCTGCAGAAAATTGGGAGCATCGCACAGGCTGAGTCTGCCCAAGGATGCCACTTCCAAAGAAAAGAAAAGTGAAAAAAACAAGGAAGCAAAAGTCATCCACTCTAGGTAAAGTGCGACGCAGCCGTTCAAACAACCTGAAGTTTGCAGGCAGAGTTTTTCCTTTGCATTCCTTCCGTGGAAAGTATTATAACAAGAATACAAGCCAAACTTTTGCAGAGGAGGAGGAGGAAATTAAATCAGAACTGCTTTAATCACCGGAGGCTTTCAAGAAGAGATTGGACTGCCATTTGTCGGAAACGGTATAGGCAGGGGTCTCCTGCTTGGGGTTGGACTAGATGACCTCCAAGGACCCTTCCAACTCTGTTAATCTGTTTAAGAACCAACACCAAACCGTTACTTAATTTTGTACGCTTGGGAGCAAGGCTGCTAACATTTGAAAATCCAACGCAATCTCTCTACAAAAAACACCTGGCTTAGCTTAAAATTATTTTTTTCGCCACGTGTCGCTGGGGGAGAAAAAAAAAATGGGATGCATTAGCCTTCAACTTAAATTTGTGGTTTTTCACTCTGGAAGGAAGAAACGATAAGCTTACAGAAGTTATTAAAGCGACTCCTTCAAATGTTTTTCTATGCCCGATGTCTCCTCCTCCCCATAATGTTGAGCACTGAAATAATAACGTGTAAAAACTCAGAGGAAATGGGATGATATTAGCAGTTTTTCCTGCATCCCATCGCTCTTGGTCTGTTAGAGGTTCCCTGTTGTTGGAAGGAAAACCCAGTCTGGTTCCAAGCCGGGAGAAAGATGCAGGAGCCAATGAATTTTGAGGCAAGCGGCTGGAAAGGAGGTCTCCGTTTATTTAGGAAGCGGAAGCGAAGTGTCTCGGCATCGGTTCTGGGACAGCTGACAGCATGGGATAGGGTAGCAGAGTGGTTTTTATACCCTTTTGGACCTTTGAAATTGAGGTGCTTGGTGGGGTTATTTGATTAGATTAGATTCTGTATTCTAAATTCAGTGTGGCTTAGCGTTTGCTGACTTAATCCTTAATCCCGTCCATTCAGCCAGTTTTCTAAGTGGGATTGGTTGCACGGGTGAGCTGCTGGGGATTCACAGGGGTTCGGGAGACCCTCTAGCTAAGATTCTGTGCAGTTTGGAGAACCCCCAAATACAAATGTATTGTAATGACTCAGTAAGCCTAGGTCACAACAGGTATTTTCTAAGGCTTCTAAGGTTGACGTTAACTAAATACCAAGTATAAGGACCTCAGTATCTTCCATTTCTTCAGCATCTGTTCTCATTCTTCCCTCCAGGTGAGGAGAGACACAAAGAGGCATCGCCGGAGGCTGACGCACTGAAGCAGCATTTGGGTGAGGAGAGCTGGAGAGTTGTGCGAGGATGTGGAAAACAGAGAGAGCAATTGAGGCTGGGTAGCTTTGGGAGGGGAGTATAAGATGCACAGAGCTGCATTGCTTTCTGCAGTAGCCTAAGCCCCCCTCCTCACCCGTTTGAAAGCCAATTTGGTATACAGGTAGTTCTCGACTTACGACCGTAATTGAGCCTGGATTTATGGTTGTGCCAGTTGTTATGCAGGTCATCGCACCATCATCAACATCATCATTATCATCTTCTGCTTTTAATGACCCCATAATCCCTTGCGGGGTGGAGTCTGGGCAACTGAACGGAGCTGAGTGTTTACTGGCCGGATGCCCTTCATGTCACCAGTGCGGAGTTTTGTTCAGCAAATATATTTTCATTGTGCCCACAGAGAGAGAAATATCTGCCTCTACCTAGGATCGAACTCCAGGGGAAGGATACTGCAAAATCCCCATTCCATCCCCATTCCTGGGGGAAGGATATTGCAAAATCCCCATTCCCTCCCCACTCCTGGGAAAAGAATACTGCAAAATCCCCATTCCCTCCCCACTCCTGGGGGAAGGATACTGCAAAATCCCCATTCCCACCCCACTCTAGGGCCAGCCAGAGGTGGTATTTGCCGGTTCTCCGAACTGCTCAAAATTTCCGCTACCGGTTCCCCAGAACCTGTCAGAACCTGCTGGATTTCACCCCTGGCTCAAACAGAACGATTAAAACGATGAAAATTTCAAGTTAAAACAACTTCATAATTGAACAGAAGTCCTTGAGAAGCTGCTTAGAGGTTCAGAAGAAGACGTTCTGAAGATATTTTAAGCAAAACGGAGCACCGGCCCGGCTAGAACTAAAGACCACATAGAAAAAAGGGGGGGGGGGGGGTCCCCCCCCCCCGAGGACAAAATATTTGCTGCGAATGTGACACAATTCAAACAACTATCCATCTTTTTACAGTGTCTTCTGGGACCGACACGCAGACAGAATGACTTGCTGGTTGGAAATATGGCACTGGGCTAGAAGTGTACAAATCTATATTTTATTAAAGCGGTTAATTTTGTTAAAAAAAATATTTAAATTCATAATTTCCCCTTTTCTAACTCCTGCGGTTTTGACATGAGAGATGAGCCCGAATAGTGACATGGCTTCTGTCCCCTTTTGCCTTGCAGTTCTCCAGAGAGACCTGGCCAAACAGGCAAGGATTGACAGGGAAGGATTCAGGCAGAGGCTGACAGAACTGGAGAGAAACCTGGAAAAAGCCCAGAAAGACAAAAAGGATATTTATGAAGGTGATTTGGGGGAGGTGGGCAGGAGGGATTGCTCCCCTGGTCGTCGCTTGTAGAAACCGATTCTTTCCTTTCTTAGAAATGTGACTGGCAGTTGGGTGGGAAATGCCTTGGCAGCTTAACTCTTTCATTCCTCTGGGGCAGGGGTCTCCAACCTTGGCAACCTTAAGATTTGTGGACTTCAACTCCCAGAATTCCTCAGCCAGCATGCTTTAAGATGGGTGGAGTTTAATTCCCAGAATTCTCCAGGGAACATGCTTTAAAAGGGGTAGACTTCAACTCCCAGAATCCCCCAACCAGCATGCTTTAAGATGGGTAGACTTCAACTCCCAGAGTTCAACTCCCAGAATCCCCCAGCCAGCATGCTTTAAGATGGGTGGACTTCAACTCCCGAGTTCAACTCCCAGAATCCCCTAGCCAGCATGCTTTAAGATGGGTGGACTTCAACTCTCAGGATATCCCAGCCAGCATGCTTTAAGACTTGTGGACTTCAGCTCCCAGAATTCATCAGCCAGCATGCTTTAAGATGGGTGGACTTCAACTCCCAGATTTCAAACATAGGGGGTAAGATAGTTTAATGTTATGTGGAAATGTATAGTACACAGGGGAGAATAGAAAGGGGGTAATATGATATAATATAATGTGGACGGATTTCACCTTGGGAAGTCATGGGAGCAGGTGAGGGTTAGGGAGGGAAGGGGGGGAATGGGAAAATTTGTATTTGTAAAACTTTTTCAATTAAAAAAAAAAAAGATGTGGAGTTTAATTCCCAGAATTCTCCAGGGAACATGCTTTAAGAGGGGTGGACTTCAACTCCCTGAGTTCAACTCCCAGAATCCCCCAGCCAGCATGCTTTAAGATAGGTGGACTTCAGCTCCCAGGATATCCCAGCCAGCATGCTTTAAGGTTTAGGTTTATGTTATTTTATCAGTATTATTATTATTATTTAGTATTAATATAAGAATGAATGTAAGAAATGAATATGGTGGTAAGTTTAATTGCTAAGACACAAAGAATTTTATAGTCAGGTGACACACTGTTTAACGTAAGATGGAATGTTTGTATGAAAAGAAAATTTTAAAAAAATTATATTAAAAAAAGCCAGCATGCTTTAAAATGGGTGGACTTCAACTCCCAGAACTCCCCAGCCAGGAATTCTGGGAGTTGAAGTCCACCCATCTTAAAGTTGTATTGATGGAAGAACACTGGTTAAGGGATCAGATTTATGCCTTGCTATACCTTGGTTTCTGTGAATAGATATCAACCGCCATCCTGTCCATCAATCTCATGTTCTAGGAAAAAACGTCAGCTTGGTGCATTTCAAAGGGGGGTGGGGTGTACTTTGCACCCCACCCATTCCTACTAGCTAAAGGAGGGGTCTCCAACCCCTGCCCTCTCTGGGCTGCGGCAAAACCTCTCTCCACGGAACTGCAACCGGGGCCCCCTAAAAGTTTGGGGGCCACTGAGCTAGAGGGAAGATATTTGCTGATGGATGTGTGACATAGAGAATCCATTTATCTTTAGAAAGATACACACCATCATCCCAAAACTGCTGGAGAAAATCAACATTTCCTTCTGTAGGATGCTCGGCTCTTTTTGGATAGCCCATATTTTGCCTTCAACTCAACCTCTGTCCCTTTGTGACCGGAAGGGACTTGCCCATTTAGCTTACCGCACACTCAAGGATCACGCTTCGGCGCTCCAAAAATAGCATCTAGGAATCTAGGGGTAACTAAGGGGTTTCCTCCTCCGTCTGACGCCACTCCCGTTTCTTTGTTTCAGAGATGATCCGCCAGTATCAGCAGTTTCAGCGCCAGAGCGATAGCCAGATTCAGCGTTTGGAAGCTGAAAAGCAGAACCTTCAAGTGCAGCTGGGTATTTACACAAAAGTTTAGCCTTGCAGAAGGTTACTCAGATGCGCTGTGGCCATTCAAGGCCGCTGTTTAAGGACTGGGAGGAAATAAAAGAAATAGCTGCACCCACTTCCTTGCATCTTTTAAACCAGGGGTCTCCAACCTTGGCAACTTTAAGGCTGGGGAACTTCAACTCTCAGAATCATCATTATCTGCAAAAATTTTGAACACCCCCAATTTTAGAATACCCTCACCTCCAAGTACCTGAAGGTCCTAGGGCAGTGTTTCTCAGCTTGGACAACTTTAAGTTGTGTGGATTTCAACCCCCCAGAATTTCCCAGCCAGTCATGTCCTGAGAACCTGGTCCAACACTTGATCTCAGTGTGGACACCATCTAGATGGATGGAGTTGACTGGAGCAAAGTCTCTCAAACTTCAGCAACTTTTAACAACTTAAAGCAACTTTTTTAGGAGCCTTGATAGCACAGTGGTCTAAGCACCCTGTCATTAACACAGCTGCCTGCAGTTACTGCAAGTTTGAATCTCTCCAAGGCTCAAGGTTGACTCAGCCTTCCATCCTTTCTAAGGTAGGTGAAATGAGGACCCAGTTTGTGGGGGCAATAAGCTGACTTTGTATAAATATACAAAAGTATGAAGGCTATTGCTTAACGCATTGTAAGCCGCCCTGAGTCTCCGGAGAAGAGTGGCATATAAATCAAATTAAAAAAAAAAAAACATGTCTGGACTTCAACTCCCAGAATTCCCCAGCCAGTCATGTCTTGAGAATCTGGTCCAACATTTGATCCCACAGTAGACACCATCTACATGGAGTTGACTGGAGCAAAGTCTCTCAAACTTCAGCAACTTTTAACATGTCTGGGCTTCAACTCCCAGAATTCCCCCAGCCGGCTCTCAGCTCTCTTCTGCTTTCTCTCACCTCGATCTCTGTCCTTCCCCCCCCATCCCCACCCCACCCCACCTCATTTGTCCTCGGCAGCTGCCTGCCAAAAAACCCTGCAGCGGAGTGAAGAGGACCGAGCAAAGATCTCGGAGGAGAAAGACAAAGCTGTGGCTCAGATGCAGCAGAAGGCTGAGGAGATGGAGAAGGAATGTGAAAGAATCCTTCACGTGAGTCGGGGATGGGAAGGACATCAATCCTGGTCCCAGCCAAGAACCTAAGGGGAGGAGACCAAATGTTTGGTGCTGCTCATCACCAAAGTTTCAGGAAAGGGAGAGCGAGAGAGAGAGAGAGAGAGAGAGAGAAGTGAATATTCCTGTGATTGCTCATGTTAAACTATGCTCTGTGCGTGCTTCTGTGGGTTATAGGTTGAGCATGACGATAGTCAAAATTATTGGGCAACGTTCTTCTCATCGCCCTGTTCAAGCAGAGAAACTGGTTTGTTGGTCTGTGGGGTTTTTTTTCCCTTTAAACCCTGATGCTTGGAAAAGCATTCAGTGCTACTCAGATCTTTCCTTCCATCACTTGGCATGTCTGCTTCAGTGGTAGGATTCAAAATTTTTTACTACCGTTTCTGTGCTTGGTGGCAGTAGTCAGTTTCGAAACCCGGCGCTACCAGTTCGCTATCAGTAGCGCGTGGGCGCGGAACTTCTGCATATGCGCAGATCGTTTTTGATGACGTCTGGGTGGGTGGGTGGAGCCTCCCAAAGCCACCATACTGATTCATGCGAACCGGGAGCAACCTACACCGCTTGGTGGGCATGGCAGGGGAAGGATACTACAAAATCCCCATTCCCTCCCCACTCCTGGGGGAAGGATAGCAATAGCAATAGACTTATATACTGCTTCACGGTGCTTTACAGCCCTCTCTAAGCAGTTTACAGAGTCAGCCTCTTGCCCCCAATAATTTTGGTCCTCATTTTGCCAACCTTGGAAGGATGGAAGGCTGAGTCAACCTAACCTTATGTGGCTTGGTGGGCGTGGCAGGGGAAGGAGACTGCACAATCCCCATTCCCTCCCCACTCCAGGGGGAAAGATACTGCAAAATCCCCATTCCCTCCCCACTTCGGGGGAAGGATACTGCAAAATCCCCATTCCCTCCCCACTTCGGGGGAAGGATACTTCAAAATCCCCATTCTCTCTCCACTCCAGGGAAAGGATACTGCAAAATCCCCATTCCCTCCCCACCCCACTAACCTGCTTTCCAGCTCCGTTCTCTTGTGCAGGGCAACAAAAGAAGACCCAGCCAATCGGCTGAGACTCGATCAGCTGAGACTTGGGAGGCAGTGAATAGATGGGGGCGGGGCCAGCCAGAGGTGGTATTTGCCGGTTCTCCGAACTACTCAAAATTTCAGCTACCGGTTTGACAGAACCGGCTGAATACCACCTCTGATTCTGCTTGGACCACAAATGACCCTTCTGGCTCCCCAAACTTCCCAAGACATTTTCAGAGTAGGGGGGGGGACATTCTCAGGTAAGACAATGGCAAATATGGGTCGTTGTCTCTTCCCTTTGAATGTTCAGCCAGGGACCACATCCTGTTTCGCTGCTCTCGTCTCTCTAGACCTTCCCGTTCTCACTTCCTTTTAACAGGACAGCTTGGATCAGGTGCTTTCCAAGCTACAAGCCACCAAACTGGGCTGGGAGAACGAGGCTACCCTCATCCACACTGACTATAAGAATGCGCTAAAGGATTTTGGACTTAACCCATTGGAGATCTGAAGCAGTGGTCAAGCAGAGCTAAGGTTTGTCTCCTTATCCTCCCGGGGGTTTCATGTTGGCACGGACATCGAGATGTACCATTAGAAGGGAATATTTGTAGCTCAAGGTTGAGCTGTGCTCTTCTGAGCTTGGTGGTTTTCTTGCAGACATTTCGTTACCAATCAGCCATCAACAGACACAAGGAGATAAAGGCATTTACATACCAATCAGAAAACCCAAAAGGAACTGAGAGATCAAAACTCCTCCTTGCCAGTAACCAACACCCAGATAAAAAGAGATTCATATCAACACTAGACCAACAACCAAGCCACAAACGACACCCCAGTTAGGGAGCTACCGACTCAGATACACAAGCTAACAGTCAACAAGAGTCTAATCAAGGATTCATCAAGGCCACTCCCACCAACACTGACAGGGCAAGCCACCGGAGTATAAACAGAAAGCAGACTCATCTCTCTTCTAGCACTGATGACGTTCCCTAGTTGGGTCATGAAATGTCTGCAAGAAAGCCACCAAGCTCGGAGACCACCAAGGATTCCACACCATAAAATAAGGAATTATCCATCCACATTGCTCAGCAATTCACTCAACGCATGAAAGCACGGTGTTGTTTTATTTGAGCTGGTTTTAGTGTCGTGTGTGAAGTTGGCTCTCCGTGCCTTGCAACAAACCCCTATTAAAGCAAACTATGGTTTAGCGTGATGGGTGAATCCAAACAATCCTGTCTTGAGGTGTATGAAAAGTACTTCCCTTCGTTAACAAACTCGTTTTCTTAGGCAGCTCAAATGAAGGAAGGAAGGAAGGAAATTCCAGATCAGGCCATCTGTTATCTCTTTCAGTTTTCTGTTTCAGAACACATTAATCCCCATTTAACGTAGCTGAGGTCCTAATCTTGTACTCTTCAGAGCGTAGGCCAAGAACAGAAGATGCTATGCATCTCCACTCAGAAAAAGATCTTGGAGAAAGAGCTCTGAGATTGGAAGCCCCTTGCTCATCCTCTGCCAACCTTCACAGTCTGTTTTGTGCAAAATCTATGGGTCGATTGTCAGAAGAAGATGAAAGGAAGTCCCGGTGCTTGGTTTTATTGGTTCCAGTAGAGCAGGGAACTCCAACCTTGGCAACTTGAAGACTTGTGGACTTCAATTCCCAGAATTCCCCAGCCAGCTTAGGGAATTCTGGGAGTTGCATGGCTGGCTGAGGAATTCTGGGAGCTGAAATCCACAAGTTTTCAAAGTTTTAAAGGATGGAGATCTTGCAATAGAGGGAATATTTTGACGGAGGGAAAAAGAGCTTGAAGGAAGTGGTCAATGGTCTTCATCCACATTCTGCTGGTAGGAATCATGTAGAGATGTTGTCACACACCCAGAGAGGACGTCTGTACTAGCTTCTCTTCCACAAAATGCAATGAATGAGGGCTATCCTTGAATTGCAATTATTTCCAGCGATCTTTTTTGAATCTTTCCAAAAGGAATTCCCCCCCAAGGTGGCCCTGAATCCATCTCTGGCCATCCTCCGCTCTGAATCTTTAGCCCGCTTGCCAGGTTCTGCAGAAATCATTCGAGTGCAGAGACAGATTGACCCGGAAGGCAGAAAAAGATCGGGAAAGCTGGTCTGAGGGAGATGAGTTTGATTTGAGTTCATGCCGGAAGGGTGTGCAAAGCTGCTCACTTGTTTTCCATAGAGTCCAAGGCGCTGTCCCTAGAATGCCTGGCTGAACCCATCATGGTCCTGTGGGAAACAAGGAGAAGCTAGATCATGTTTTCCGTAGATGATCCCATAAAAAGATAGGTGACACTGAAGAAATCCCACTCTGGTGGCCTGTCCCCAAAATGCAAGAGGTGATGTTGGGCTGGAGAAAGTCAAGTCATTGACTTCATAGAAATCCGAGACATATGAAGAACGGTTGCAGGAACTGGGCATGTCTAGTTTAACGGAAAGAAGGACCAGGGGTGACATGATAGCAGCCTTCCAATATTTGAGGGGCTGCCACAAAGAAGAAGAGGGAGTCAACCTCTATTCTCCAAAGCACCAGAAGGCAGGAGAAGAAGCAACGGATGGAAACTAATCAAGGAGAGAACGGACCTAGAACTAAGGAGGAATTTCCTGGCAGTGAGAACAATTGATCAACGGAACAGCTTTCCTCCAGAAATTGTGGGTGCCCCAACATTGCAGGTTTATAAAAAGAGATTGGACAGTCCTTCATCTGAAATGGTATAGGGTTTTCTACTTGAAGAAGGGTTAGATTAGAAGACCTCCAAGGTCCCTTCCAATTCTGTTATTCTGTTCTAGGTTTTCTTACCTCTCCGGTGAAGGTCCATGGGGTAGGGTCAGGTTGGCCAGGTGGCGCTGTATTGCTAGAGAACTGACAGTGACACGGTCTCAAAGGGGGCCAGCTTTGTTCCTGAAAGATGCCTGGAGAAGTAGAACCACGGTTGATCAGAAAGCTTGACGGGAAGTCTTCATCATCGTAGAAGACTAAAGGAGATACTCCAACCTGAAATGTAGACCCAAATCAAGAATTTGGCATTGATTGTCCAGAAATCAATCAGTAAATTCCTAATAACAAGCTAGACTTAAAATTCTATTTTGTATCACGGGGCGAAAATCAAATCTAACCCGTCTTAAGTATCCCACCATAAACACACTGTCCACGTGCATCATTCTTGATACCAGTTGACACGTCTGCTTGGAGAATCCCACTGAATTGTAGTTTAATGGAGAATGATGGAATTTCTTTGCTCTCCTATCCTGAATGTGGAAGAAGTGCCACCCCAAACAGTCCTTGAATTACATACATTTGTGTATCATCTGTTCAAGATGCGGAGCTTCCCACTGGTTTTACTACCGGTTCTTGCGAACTGGTCTAAACCGGGGGGCAACCCACCACTGCTGTGCTCCACAGCTGATTGTCGGAGGGAGCAGCAATTAGAAAGGCAGGCAAAGCACGGAAGATTGCTTCGCTTGCGTTGGGGCTGAAAAACACAGCTGATCCTCGGAGGGACCTACAGTGACTAAAGCAGGCAAAGCGCGGAAGGGGTAAGAGAAGGCAGCAGCTGTTCTGGTTAGCCATTTTGGGCACCGCAACGAGTTACATTCGGAGTATAAGACGCCTCCAAATTTTCAGCCTCTTTTAGGAGGGAAAAAAGTGTGTCTTATACTCTGAAAAACACGATATCTGGATACAGAATCCCAAAAGGATTTCTGCATATTATTATTATCCCTTCCCATCTTCTCATCTTTCAGGAGTCGATAGAAGAGAAGACTTGGGTACCATGTTGTAGAACTTGCTTCCTTCTGAGTCGATGACCAAGAGAGTCACCCGCTGGCTGTCGGAACGGATCCTCGACACCACTTCCTGATGGTCAAGCTCTTCGACAATCTCGCCGTTCACCGCCAACAGACAGTCGCCTTCTCTCATCCCTGCCTTTTCAGCGGGTAGCCCGGCATCCAGGTCTCTCAAAAATTGGGCTGCAGCCGGGTCAAAGATAGGAGAGACATTTCAGCCTCTAGCGTGAAATGATTCCAACGAATTGAAATTTCAAAGTGGTGGAATTAAAAAAAATTCCCCTACCGGTTCTGTGGGCGTGGCTTGTTGGGAGTTCATGTGACTGGGTGGGTGTGGCCAACTCGACATCACTCACATCGAGAGGCTCCTCACCGGCCTCTCCCCTCCCAGCCACTCCTTGTCGCGAATGGCAGGAAAATGGGGAGGGGAATATTCCTGCCTACCATCCTTCCCTCAGTCTGTGCTGAGCTTGAGGAATGGGTGACAGGCAGGAAAATCCCCTTCCCCATTTTCCTGCCTTTCACGAAAACGGCTCCATTCCAGCTGTTCCCCCTCCCGTCACCCCCCCTCCTGGGGACTACCTTAAAGGCACAGGCTGCAGCAGCTCCGTTCTGAATGGAGGGAGAAAAGTTAGCATTCTCTCTGCTGCATTTAACATTGAATTCTGTGGAATATTGAATGGCCGGAAGAGGCGAGCGATGACCAACTGGGTGTGGATGGGGCCAACGAGGGGTGATTACTACCGGTTCGGCGAACCAATGCCAATAATCCCTAGCAGTTCACCCGAACCGGTCCGAACCGGTTGGATTTCACCCGTTAAGGATATTGTTGTTGTGTTACCAACCAGCAGACTGTAGAGCACAAAGAAACGTTGCTGAGAGCAATGAATAAGAGATATGCAAACTGGTTTATCAAAAGTTTACTTTATAGTGAAAAAACAATCTCACCCCTCTTCCCCGAGCTGGATTTTTCTTCTTTCATCAAGAACCCGTATCCGTCTTCTCCTCGCGTCATCTGAAGCTTCGTCACTTGGAACGGAACCCAGGAGGTGTCAGCCAGGGCAGCCGTAACCTTAACGCCGCACTGTCGGTACGCCTCTTCAGACCGGCTGTCCATCACTAGGAGCCCCATGGGGCTGCTGCTCTGTTTGAGCTGAATCCGAATCGGAGCAAGAGAGAGAAAAGACGACAACGATGACCAAAACGTTGGCAACAATTCAGAGAACTAGACAGGGATGGGAAATGATTGGGCCACGAAGGGAGAAGGGGCTGCGTAAAAACTATCCAGAGGATGGCCAGGGTAAGGTTTTGGGAGGGAAAGTAATATTGGTAATATTGTACTTTCTAACCAGAGCATACAAAACCTTTGCTAGACCAATTCTCGAATACAACTCATCTGTCTGGAACCCGCACTGCGTATCGGACATTAATACAATTGAACGTGTCCAGAAATATTTCACAAGAAGAGTCCTCCACTCCGCTGCTCGCAACAAAATACCTTATGCCACCATAAGGTATTCTGCAATTTTGCAATATCCTTCCCCCAGGAGTGGGGTGGGAATGGGGATTTTGCAGTATCCTTCCCGCAGGAGTGGGGCGGGAATGGAGATTTTGCAGTATCCTTCCCCCAGGAGTGGGGAGGGAATGAGGATTTTGCAGTATCCTTCCCCTGGTGTGGAGTGGGAATGGAGATTTTGCAGTATCCTTCCCCCAGGAGTGGGGAGGGAATGGAGGTTTTGCAATATCCTTCCCCCAGGAGTGGGGAGGGAATGGGGATTTTGCAGTATCTTTCCCCCGTCACGCCCACCAAGCCACACCACACCCACCAAGCCATGCCCACAGAACCAGTAGTAAAAAAAATTGGATTTCACCACTGGGTGGGACTGAATGTAAGAGACTGGCAGTTCATAAATCTCAAAGCGCATTGCGTTGCTAGAACCTTTTGGTTGAGTTGTGCAGTCGTCCAGTTCTTAACGCTGATGCCGTTGAGTTCCACCAGCCAGGAACCGTGTGGCACCCCCGCTTTATGAGCTGGTCCATCCTGCAGCACGGAGAGCTGGAATACGCCGGTCACACCTGTACAGGAGTACCACAACATCAAGAGGAAGCCTTGTGAAGGAAGAGAATTTGCGCCCTCAAAAATAACCTAGGCCAGTGATGGCTAACCTTTTTGCCGTCACATACCAAAAACAGGGGAGCGCGGGGGGCTGGTCATGTTCATGCATGCCCACACCCATAACTCAATGTGCCCCCCCCCTCCTTGCATGCATGCGTGCCCCCCCCCCCCGCTCCCTTTGCTTTCAGCATGCGATGATATTGTGGGCCCGGTATGCCCATTTTTCACCCTCCCCAGGCTGCAGAGGCTTTCTTGGAGCCTGGGGAGGGCAAAAACAGCCTTCCCCACCTCCCTGGAGGCCCTCTGGAGGCTGGAAACTGCCCGTTTCCCGACTTCCGGTGGGACCAGAAGGCCCGTTTTTCGCTCTCCCAGACTCCAGAGGCTTTCTAGGAGCCTGGGGAGGGCAAAAACAGCCTTCCCCACCACCCCCAGAGGCCAGAAACAGCTCGTTTCCCGACTTCCGGTGGGCCCAGAAGGCCCGGAAATTAGCTGGCCGGCACGCACATGCACGCTGGAGCTGAGCTAGGGCAGCAGTCGCGTACCCACAGATATGGCTCCGTGTGCCACCTGTCCAAGGGGACTCTGGCAGCAGAAACCAGCATGCAAAAAATAACCCCAGCTCAGCCCAAGAGGTCTGACTTTTCCCAAGGCAGAATCTTTTGAGTTAACAGTGCAAAACCACCGGCGCACACGGAGATAAGCAGAAGTGACTCCTGCCGCTACCTTCTGGAGCTGACACGCTGAAGCCCAAACCGCTCGAGCCTTTGGGAACGCAGCACAGGCGTGGCCTTTTGTATCTGGACAAGAGCTGGTTAAGATCCCGATTGAGAGCTTTGGTTACTTCGTAGGCATTCCCTTCCAGGACGGTGAGCAGGACCTGTTTTGAGCTACTCTTGATCTTCCAGATCACCTGGAAATGAGAAGAGAGAGAGGGAGAGACAGAGACAGAGAGACAGAGAGAAAAAGAGAGAGACAGACAGAGAGAGACAGAGAGAGACAGACAGAGAGAGACAGTAAGACAGAGAGAGAGACAGAGAGAAAAAGAGAGAAAGAGACAGAGAAACAGAGAAACAGAGAGAGAGAGAGAGATGGCAAATGTCAGCAACTGGAGAACCTATTCCAATATTTGATCCCAGCATGCTCGCCATGTACCCTGTTTCCCTGAAAATAAGACCCAACCAGAAAATAAGTCCTAGCATGATTTTCAGGATGCTCATAATATAAGCCGTACCCCCAAAATAAGCCCCAGTTAAGATTGTCAGTCAGATGGTGCATTTAGTACCGTATTTTCCCCAAAATAAGACCTAACCATAAAATAAGCCCTAATATGTCTTTTGGAGCAAAAATTAATATAAGACCCGGTCTTATTTTCGGGGAAACACGGTAGACACAATCTAGATCTGGGGTCTCCAAACTTGGCCACTTTTAAGACACGTGGGCTTCAACTCCTAGAGTTCCTCAAATGGGGAATTCTGGGAGTTGAAGTCTACAAGTCTTAACGTTTGGAGACCCCGGATCTAGACGGATGAAGTTGACTACAGCAATATTTTTCAACCTTAAGCCACTTTAAGACACGTGGACTTCAACTCCCAGAATTCCCTGGCCAGCATTGCATTGAACTCCGCACGTCAAGGTTGAGAAGCTGTTCATTTGTGAGACTTGTTTAACTTTGGAAATGTGTGCCCAGCGGCTGGGTCACTCAATATACCCAGGACAAGCAGGAGATCCATCCAAACCTTACCCGAAGATATCCCATGCCTTCAACATTAACTCCGTTGACCTCAAGGATTCGGTCTCCATCCCGAAGGCCTTTACGGTAGGCCAGCCCTCCCGGTGTCACCTTCCGTACAATGGGACACGTCCCTCCGGCTGCTTGGCACAATGAGAAGCCCAGATTGTCACCAGCTTCTTTCTTCAGTAAACAGAAACGTATCTGGGAAGTCCCTTCTGGTTCTGAGGAGGATAAAAGAGACATCTCTTTTCAAACTGGTTTGGCTGGGGATACGGGGCTACCTTTGTATTGGGAAGACTGAATACGGAGAAAAAGGATAGGTTGAGTGAAGAGGCTCCCAAGATCTATACTATACATAAATGACCTTTGCGATCATATTATAAGCAACTGATAATGTTACCTAGTTTGGTATGGAAACATCTACAAGAAAACAACTAAGCTCAAAGAGCACGAAGAATCCCCTCCTCCTCTTCCTCTTCCTCCTCCTCTTCCTTCTTCCTCTTCTTCTCCTCCTGGTCCTTCCTTCTCCTCCTCCTCTCTGAAACCCCCCTTCCCTTCTAGCACTGATAATGTTATCTAGTTTGGTAATGAAACATCTACAAGAAGACAACCAAGCTCAGGGAGCACCGCGGACCCTACAGTTCAACCCTGAGCTACAAAATATCTGTTGCATGCCCTCATGAGAAGCCTCCTTGGGTAGATGGGCTCTCTTGAATTCAGGAGCAAGCTGAACCCTTGAGCCCACCTCCCATCGCACACTAACCAGTCTAGTCAGGACGTTGACAATGCTTACAACTTGGTTGTGGCATTTGCAAAGAACTTGGAAGGCAGCTCAGCTGAACCTTTGGTTGAGAAGGAACCACGGAGGAGGAAGAAGAAGCATCAGCTTGCAGAAGAACGTCGGCTGATGGAAAAGTTTGGGCAACTTGCTTGCCAAACACCCTCAGGAAAACACCAACACCTTCCTTTCCCACCCACAAGCTGCCACCGACAGCCCTCTCATTACCAGAATCTTCTGCCAGAGATAAGGCGGGATTATCGATCCCTTCTTTTGGGTTAAATTCAAATTTCCTGCAAGAGAGGAAGAAGAAGGAGCATCTCAAAAGTTGAGAAACGGGTGTTCACAGGAGAAGGTCTAAAAGGTCGAGATGATGGCCACAGCAATGCCATCAAAGCTCTACCTGTGGCCCACACACCTAATGAACATGGCAAACAAGCAGAGTTTGATCCCACCCCCATGGCCCCCCATCTCAACATTTTCTCATCACAGTTTGCAGACGCCTTCGCTGAAGAGCCACCAAAAGTTCCTGCCAACATCTCAGCTTCACCAGAACTGTCAACCAAATCCCCAGTCTGCAATGGAAGTACTTTCTTATTTCTTTGGTGGTTAGTTAGGGTCCCTTAATTCTGGAGCTTGTCATCAGAAGAATGGAATGGAATGGAATGGAATGGAATGGAATAGAATAGAATAGAATAGAATAGAATAGAATAGAATAGAATAGAATAGAATAGAATAGAATAGAATAGAATAGAATAGAATTGGAGTGGAGTGGAGTGGAGTGGAGTGGAGTGGAGTGGAGTGGAGTGGAGTGGAGTGGAAGAGAAAAGAGAAGAGGAGTAGAGTAGAGTAGAGTAGAGTAGAGTAGAATATTGGAATGCAGAATTAGAGTAGAGTAGAATAGAATAGAATTAGAATAGAATAGAATTGGAGTAGAGTAGAGTAGAGTAGAGTAGAACAGAACAGAACAGAACAGAACAGAATAGAATAGAATAGAATAGAATCACTTTATTGTCACTTTAAATGTACACTGATCGGCATACATTAAAATGAAACTTTGTAAGAATAGAATAGAATAGAATAGAATAGAATAGAATAGAATAGAATAGAAACAGAAACAAACAGAAACAGAAACAGAAGAATAGGAATGGAATGGAAAATACAACAGAATAGAATGGAATTCTTTATTGGCCAAATGTGATTTGGACACACAAGTAATTTGTCTCCGGTGCACATGCTCACAGTGTACATACAAACAGCAAGTCATAGGTCACAGATCAGAACTACCAGAGACCATTTCACCGAAGCTGCCATCCGTGGCACCATCTTCAACGGATGGTTTTAAGCTTTAGCCAACCGTCAACCCATCCCATCAACTTGTTTGTGCCAACTGCCCTGCGTGTCCGGTTGGAATGTGTGAAATTGCACATGGCGGTGGGAGGGGGAGGGGGGATAAAGAAATGTTGGTGGGTCTGCTGGTTTTGCCTGCCCCTCCCCTCCCCTCCCCCCAGCTTGGCACTTACATGGTCGACTCCGTGGTCTCCTGAAGCCCTGTAAAAGCAAGGACCGAGCATGAGCCGAGGGCTGTCTCATACCAACACAGAGACCCTCCCTCCCCACTCAAAGCCCCCAATGTCCCTTTCTTGGTTCCGGGTCAGAAATATTCATTTAGCTTTGGGAGAAAAAGATTCGGGAGTATTTTGCAGTTTTACCTCTCTGGGGTGGTAATTCAACAGAACTGTTGGCTCGATGCGCCCACAATCAGTGGTGAAATCCAATTTTTTTTACTACTGGTTCTGTGGGCGTGGCTTGGTGGGGTGTGGCGTGGCGTGGCATGGCATGGCTTGGCTTGGTGGGCATGGCAGGAGAAGGATATTGCAAAATCCCCATTCCTACCCCACTCCTGGGGAAAGGATACTGCAAAATCTCCATTCCTACTCCACTCCTGGGGAAAGGATACTGCAAAATCTCCATTGCCACCCCACTCCTGGGGGAAGGATATTGCAAAATCTCCATTCCCACCCCACTCCAGGGGGAAGGATACTGCAAAATCTCCATTCCCACCCCACTCCTGGGGGAAGGATACTGCAAAATCTCCATTCCCACCCGCACTCCGGGGGAAAAAGGATACTGCAAAATCTCCATTTCCCACCCCATTCTGGGGCCAGCCAGAGGTGGCATTTGCCAGTTCTCCGAACTACTCAAAATTTCCGCTACCGGTTCTCCAGAACCTGTCAGAACCTGCTGGGTTTCACCCCTGCCCACAATGCACCGCCCTACAGCCTGATTTGGGTTACGGCTGGCTGAGCTGTGTGATCCAGGCTGCAATTTTTGAAGCTGACAGTGTCTTCACATGCAACGAGATAAGCCCAGCTATGATTCATTGGTGAAATCAAAAGAAGGCTTAATTCATAGTTGTTTTCTTTCCACCCTTAAATAAGAAGAGGAACTGACTTCTGCATGTCTATATATATATATATAAAATAGCAGTCTTCCAATATTTGAGGGGCTGCCCCAGAGAAGAAGGGGTCAAGCTATTTTCCAAAGCACCAGAAGGCCAGACAAGGAATAATAATGGATGGAAACTGAACAAGGAGAGATTCAACCTGGAAATAAGGAGGAATTTCCTGACCGTGAGAACAATCAATCAATCAATGGAACAGAAGTTGCCTTCAGAAGTTGTAAATGCTCCAACATTGGAAGTTTTTAAGAAGATATTGGACCACCATTTGTCTGAAGTGATGTAAGGTTTCCTGACTAAGCAGAGGATTGGACTAGAAGACCTCCAAGGTCCCTTCCAACTCTGTTATTCTATTCTATTCCAGACATGTGGCTGTCCAATCTCTTCTTAAAATCCTCCAGGGATGGAGCATCAGCAACTTCTGAAATCGGCCTCCAAGGCTTTAGAAAGCGGACTTATATCGTTTCCAACTTTGTTCCGCAAAGTCTGGTGGTGCAGCAGACTAATAGCCTGTTATTATCATTCAGCTGCCTGCAATTACTGCTAGTTCGAATCTCCCCAGGCTCAAGGATGACTCAGCCTTCCATCCTTTCTAAGGTAGGTGAAATGAGGACCCAGATTGTGGGGGGCAATAAGCTGACTTTATATAAATATATACAAAAGGATGAAGGCTGTTGCTTAGCGCATTGTAAGCCGCCCTGAGTCTCCGGAGAAGGGCGGCATATAAATCAAATTAAAAGGAAAAAAAAGTCACAAAATGAAGTCCCAGGGATCAGAACTGAATCCAAAGAGCGAGATCTCCTTCTCAAGGATCATCCCATTGCCGTTATTCTTGAGTTTCAAACAACAACAAGAACAGATCCAATTCATCCTAAAGAGCATATTTTTAGGACTGGGGAAACCCATGTTGAATTTCAATCTCTTTCGAAGAATCTCTTCCTTTCAGCGCTACCAAATGAGCAGGAGCCATCAGGAGCCGAAACTGGGTCCTGGGTAGTCACCTGGCTAGGTGGCTCAGCGGCTAAGACGCTGAGCTTGTCGATCAGAAAGGTCGGACGTTCAGCGGTTCGAATCCCTAGTATAGGTCTTCTGCGGGATCAGGGGGTTGGACTAGAAGACCTCCACGATCCCTTCCAGCTCCCTTCCCTTCCCTTCATTGTTCTGTTCTGTTCTGTTCTGTTCTATTCTATTCTATTCTATTCTATTCTATTCTATTCTATTCTATTCTATTCTATTCTATTCTATTCTATTCTGTGGCTCAGTGGCTAAGACGCTGAGCTTGTCGATCAAAAAGGTCAGACATTCAGCAGTTCGAATCCCTAGTATAGATCTCCTGTGTGAGCAGGGGGTTGGACTAGATGACCTCCAAGGTCCCTTCCAACTTTGTTCCTATTACCCGGTCGGTGGGGGGCGGGGAAGCAAAGAGGTTTGAATACCTGAACAGGATTCTCCTGCAGGTGTCCCTTAACTGGATAGATTCAAGCTGCAAAAACCAAATGGGTTTTTGAAGGACGCTTGTTGTGCTTCACGGTTCAAAAGATTACCGATGTAGCAAGAGCATTAACTCCGGGCCAGATAGTCATCTCTTCCTCCACCCTATGAAGCAAAACAAAACTAGGTGGAGATGGGTTGGGACTGAGAGCAGGAAAATTTATTCCAGGGTTTAATTTATGCCACGGTTTGTTACGCGATTGATAAGAGCAGCATGGGGAGGAGGGGAGGGCGGGGGAGAACCCAGCGCCGTGATGGCGAACCTGTGGCACGCGTGCCAGAGGTGCCACGCAGAGCCCTCTCTATAGGCACGCGTGCTGTCGCCAGCTGGTCTTCTGATTTTCAGTGCGGACACACCAGCTGATCTTTGCAGGCGCTGGAGTGCTGGAAAACAGGTCATTTTTTGGCTCATTTTCAGGCCGTTTTGGGGGCACTTTGGGGCCATTTTCTGGCGCTCCGGCACCTGGCCTGAAAAATGACCTGAAAAGGGCCCCAAAAGGGCCTGAAAAACGGCCAAAAAACAGGCATGTGCATGCCATCCAGCTGATCTTTGGGTTTTTGGCACATGCATGCACACACATGCACACGCGGTACGGTTTGGTGCCGAAAAGCTTTGCCATCACTGCCCTAGGGTCCAATTTAGCTGGGCTTGGGGTACCCAAAGACCAGAAATTAAAACTTCTACCTACTTTGTTGGGGGGTGGGGTGGGGTGGGGTGGTCCTGCCGGGAGGAAAATCAGTCTGGCAGGAAAAAAAATCTCTTTCTGAATTTTGACAGCGTCGGATTTAAAGTCCTCTTAGACGAAAGGGATTTTCATTTTAAAAGGTAGATAGACCTTGCCTGGCCAAGAATTAAGAGAGGGTTATGAATGCCTTCAGCAAACAGCCAGGGCTGTTTTCAGTAGGGCAGCCCATCCAGGAACAAGCTCCGCCGCGGAAAACGAACGTGGAAAATTTGCATTCCCAGGAACCTCTGGAAAGGGTGGTTATTCGTGGACACTGCTTAGTAACCCTCTGGGTCCTTCGCCCTCTAAGTAAGAAATTCAACCCTGCAGATGTTAGGGCTCCTCTCTGCTGCCCAGGTCCCAGAACACTTACCCTTTTTCTGCTTCATGTCTGCTTCATGTCTGAAGTCCAAGGTCCAGAGGCGAGGTGGCCACTTAACTCGAGACGTTTAATATTTAAACAGCCCAAGAGTCCTTTCCTTCACGTCGCTTCCTTCTTCCACCAAGTCAAGCCGAGCGCGGAAAATAGCTTTTTCATTCCTGCAAAGGAAGATCAGCCGGGGACGGCAGCTGGGGGGTCTGGGATCCGGAGGTGATGGGACCGACGAGGGGTTGGCATGCCAAGCGAGGAGCAGCGAAGGAAGTGTGAATTGCACACCCTGGAAAGGCTCAGGTTGTTGGGTTTTTTTTGCACTATGCATATCTGTCATCTGGACGTCACCCGGTTGGTGTGTGTGAATGCATTTTTTTTTTTTCAAAGAAGTGATGAATGAAGGTGATAAATAAAACCGATGAATAATATTCTCAAGCTGAGCCTTTGACGCAGGGAAAAAATTATTTTAGGACCTGCTAGTGCAAACTTCTTTTGTCCTTTGGCAAATGTTCAAGCTATTATTTTTTTTTTTTGCAGTGGAACGTGGTTTATCCTTTTATTCGGGTATATATATATATATATATATAGAGAGAGAGAGAGAGAGAGAGAGAGATAGAGATAGAGATAGAGATAGGAGCTATATTACAAATCAGTGGTGTGTTTAAATAATGCAACAAACGGGAAATGATAATGTAAAACATTCGCTGGAAGTTTATTTTAATGGCTTTTGTTACAACCAGAAAATAAGATATTCCTTGCTATTTCTCCGGAGTCCAGCACTTGTGTGCGCGCGCTTGCATTTACGAGAAATTGGCAGCAAAGTAAAAGTGTTCACGACAAACCCACAGTAGGCTCGCTCCCCTTTGTTTGTCCCTGGTAGCTGGCATTTCAAGATAGAGTGCCCCTCGACTGGCAGGCTCTGTGCAAACTTCAGAGCTTCAGAGACATAAAGGTTAAGCCTTCTCAAAACATATTTGCAAAACCTGCTTCCACTCCGTAGAATTAATTTAATTCTATTGAGAATTAATTAATTCATTAATTCTACTGAGAATTCATTCATTAATTCTGCTGAGAATTAATTCATTAATTCTACTGAGAATTAATTAATTCATTAATCTACTGAGAGTTAATTTGTTAATTCTACTGAGAATTCATTAATTCTGAGAATTAATTCATTAATTCTACTGAGAATTAATTCATTAATTCGTTAATTCTACTGAGAATTCATTAATTCTACTGCGAATTAATTCATTAATTCGTTAATTCTACTGCGAATTCATTAATTCTGAGAATTAATTCATTAATTCTACCGAGAATTAATTCATTAATTCATTAATTCTACTGAGAATTAATTCATTAATACTACTGAGAATTAATATTAATTAATTAATTGATTAATTCATTAATTCTACTAAGAATTAATTCATTCTGTGTGAAACAATCCTTCGGTCCTTCAAATTCTCACCCTGTGGTAGCCGGTCTCCCATTGCATATCTGTTTATTTATTTTATTTTTTTCTTGGCTGTAGAAACGGGGCGCACAAGTCCTGGATCTACAGATAGGCCTCGACTTACGACCATTCATTTAGCGACCGTTCAAAGTCAGGATGGCAATGAAAAACTGACTCGCGTTTACGACCATCACTGCTTCCCTGAGTTCATGTGGTCAAAATTCGGTCAGTTGGTGACCGGAAAGTATTTGCAACGGGGGTTACGTGAATGCTCCCTTCCCGGGGAGGGGGGAGGAGGAGGAAGCTGGATTCACTGAACAACGGTGTGATTTGCTTAACGACAAATTGGAAAAAAGGAGGGAAAGGCGATAAAATTGGATGCGACTCACAGCCACTGCATCGCTTAGTGACGGAAGTTCCAGTCCCAATGGGGTCGTAAGTCGAGGGCTGTGTGTACTGAACCAAAGTCCTTTTAGTTTCCTTGAGGCACGTAGGCAAACAATTCCCAAATCACTCCATTTTTTTTAATCCCTGCTTTTTTCTGCAAATCCCCACTGGGATTTGAGCCCAGTCTAGAAAAATCTGGCTGAGATGAATAACAAGATCGTATCGTATCTTGTATTATTATTTCTCTGCATTCTTGCAAAAGAATCCGGCAGTCCGTCACTCATGGGGGGAAAAAAACCCCAAAACTCTGAGTAGAAAAAGCTGAAAAACCGGTCCCACCCCCTACTCCCAAACCAAAGAAAATAGCTGGGTTATAGGCCACCAAATCCCCCATGCTGCTAGTCCTCAGTACTCAGATATATGACACGGCCCTCCGTCTTTTTAGATCCGTCTATGGTGCATATTCTTCCTGCCCATAACTTCAGCAAATGTGTGGTGCAGAATCGGTTGTGAGGTATTTTGAATGTCGTACCAACGGAAGGAACGAGAGAGGAAGGACGCTACGTGAAACACTGAGGGATAGAGACAAGAAGAAAAATCAATGATGAGGGGACTGGAGACTCAAACATACGATGAACGGTTGCAGGAACTGGGCCTGGCTAGTCTAGTGAAGAGAAGGACCAGGGGAGACAGGATAGCATCTTCCAATATTTGAGGGGCTGCCCCAGAGAGGAGGAAGGGGGTCAAGCTATTTTCCAAGGCACCTAAAGGCCAGACAAGGAATAATGGATGGAAACTGACCAAGGAGAGACTCAACCTAGAAAATACGGAGGAATTTCCTGACAGTGAGAACAATCAACCCATGGAGCAGAAGTTGCCTTCGGAAGTTGTGGGAGCTTCATCCCTGGAAGCTTTCAAGAAGAGACTGGATTGCCATCGGTCAGAAATGGTGTAGGGTCTCCTGCTTGGGCGGGGGGTTGGACTAGATGACCTCCAAGGTCCCTTCCAACTCGGTTCATCTGTTAAAATCTTTTAAAGAAGAACTCCCTTTGTATTGCAGACATGGGGAAAGGGGTTGGGTAGGCCCAGTCGTGGAATTCAAGTAATTTAACAACCGATTCTCTGCCCCAATGATTTCTTCCAACAACCAGTTTTCCAAATTGCTCAGAAAGTTGACAACCGGTTCTCCCGAAGTGGTGCGAACCGGCTGAATCCCATCACTGGATCAGCCTCAACTCTTCTCATCAACCCCATCAAAGAAAGTACTGGTATTTTTAAAAAAATACCTACATCCTCTCACGGGCATTCAGCTAAATATCCTCTAACTGGTAAGCTCCGTTTTGCAGGTGGTCCTCAACTTATAACATTTCGTTTTAGTGGCCATTCGAAGTTACAACAGCACTGAAAAACGTGACTTATGACCGTTTTTCAGACTTGTGACCACTGCAGCATGGCCACGTGATCCAAATTCAGATGCTCGGCAAACGACTCACATTTATGATCATTGCAGCATCCCGGAGATCACCTGATCCTCCTTTTGTGACCTTCGGACAAGCCAAGCCAAGGGGAAAGTCAGATTCATTTAGTAACCATGCGACTAACCGAACAGCTGCATTGATTCACTCACAAACATGGCAAGAAAGGTGGCAAAACTCACTTAACGACCATTTTGCTTAGCAACAGAACTGCTGGGCTCAATTGTGGTTGTACATTGAGGACCACCTGTTTAATTTAGTTTTTAAATTAAACTGCAACTACATCCTTTCCTCCCCAGAGTAAATGATGGGGAAAATCACTGAGTTTGTACCAGAGATGCCCTAAAGGGACCTTGCCCACAACTTCTGTGTGGTTTGTAATATTATTATTATTATTATTATTATTATTTTAAAAAGGCTCATTACGTCCTGCAAAAGCACGAAAGTCTGAACGAATCCTCCTTTGTTCTCCAACTGACTGCTCTCCGGATGTATCAGTCTGCACCCAGTGATGTGGAAGTGATGGGAAGGGTAGTCCGACCTGCCATGGAAGGCAGCAGAACGCAAACAGATGACTTCAACCAGAAAACAAAAGAGACGTGATTAAGGCAAACCACCTGAGGGATATCCGATTCAGTCTTTGATTGGCAGGTGCGTCTACAGCAGTGGTGGGTTGCTCCCGGTTCGGCCCGGTTCGGCCGAGCTGGTAGTGGTGACGATGTGACGTCACCAAACCGGTTCTCTTTGACTGGGAGATGGGCCCTCCAGCCTGCCCCCGCTTTATTCCTACCTTTATTCCTTGTTTTTTTAGCCCAGCTGATAGGCGCGGCAGAGTGGATTGCCGCACCTCAGCTGGGCAGAAACTTAACGCACTTTCGCAGAGCACATGCGCAAAGAGAACCCGTGGTAACATCGGTTGGAACCCACCACTGGTCTACAGCACGGATGTCCAACCTTGGGTACGTTAAGATTTGTGGGACTTCATCTCCCAGAATTCCCCATAACATGGCTGGCTGGGGAATTTTGGAAGTTGAAGTCCACGGGTCTTCTAGATGCCAAAGTTGGACACTGGTTCATGATACCTGCCAACTTAGTTTCCTACCAATGTCAGGAGAGCCCTGAGGTGGGGCTCTTCTAAGCTAACTAGCCCTAAGATAACTTAGACAACCTTGTCCAGTTACCTATGGTGGGCTAAGCAGATTTGCTGTGGCATCTGAATCAACTGGTGTTTCCATGGCGTGGTAGGAAGCCCATGCTCTGCTTCCAGGCACCTCCCAAGAACCGAAGGTCAAAGGGCGCCTCTCTGCATGTGACCGAGCATCCTCTTGACCTCGCTCTCCACTCTCATGAACTTGAGTTTCTTCCAAGGGTTGACCGTCTGTCGGCGGCTGCACTGAAGATCTTCTAGGAGCAACCCCAGATGTTGCTTCACCCGCTCTCGGTCCCAGATGGGTAGGTTCTTCTGGACCACGTTCAGGATGATGGCCCAGTAGTCGGACACGTCTGCTCCCATGGTCAGGTAAATGAGCACGCGGAGGCCGTCCCGGTTCTTCCGCAATTCGTGCAGGGCTTGTTTGCCTTCTTCACTGATCTCGTTGAAGTACAAGCTGGGGAGGAGGAAGAGGAAGGAGAAGGGGAGGAAAGCTTTAAGAGCCGGAAGCAGAACATGTGAAGTCTGTAGAGATTCTCTGTCATCCAGGTCATGGTTGTCCCAAATGCTTTTTCAGGAGGCAACTGGACTTTCTGGTTTTTTTTCTTTTGAAGACATTTCGCTTCTCCTCCAAGAAGCTTCTTCAGCTCTGACAGGATAGTAATCCTTCCATTCCCCACTATCCTGTCAGAGTTGAAGAAGCTTCTCGGAGGAGAAGCGAAACGTCTTCAAAAGAAAAAAAAAACAAGAAAATCCAGTTGCCTTGTCAGAGAATTCATGACTGGCAGAGACATGGTAACGAGGTCAGCCAATGAATAGGCATAGCAACCAAGTCAGCCAATGAGGACTGTTTGGAAACTGAAACTGGAAGGAGCCTGGGCGTGGCTCTGTAGCTCTGAGTCTGTGCTGAATTGAAACTGAAACTCAGCTCTGCTGTTCTCTCCTCTGCCTGTGTTTTTTGCCTGTAACTCTCTACCACATTGGAAGAATCAGCTGTTGGTATTGTACTGTATGTGTTATTATGTATATAAAGAGAAGTTAATGAAGCCTGCTGAATCAGTTATCTCTGTGCTTTTGTCGATTTCTGCAACAAACTCTGATATGCCTCCTGAAAAAGCACCTTTGGGACAAGTCCATGTGAATTGACCCGCCAGCTCCAATGCGCATCCTTGGCTGCCAATCCCAAAGTTAAGAATCCTGGAAGTCACCCCCAACAGATCTGAAAGGTTGGGGAACATCACAATAACATGACATTTTTATTTATAAATTTGTATCCCGCCTCTATTATTTTTTTACAAATAATTCAAGACGGCAAACGTATCCAATACACCTTCCTTGTCCTATTTTACCCACAACAACCCTGTGAGGTGGGTTGAGCTGAGAGAGTGTGATTGGCCCAAGGTCCCCCAGCCAGCTTTCATGGCTAAGGCAGGACTGGAACTCACAGTCTCCTCCTGATTGGCCCAAAGTCAGGTAGTTGGCTTTCATGCCTAACGTAGAACTAGAACTCACCATTTCCTGGTGATTGGCCCAAAGTCACCCAACCAGCTTTCATGGCTAAGGCAGGATTAGAACTCACAGTCTCCTGGTGATTGGCCCAAAGTCATGTAGTCAGCTTTCATGCCTAAAATAGGACTAAAACTCACCATCTCCTGGTGATTGGCCCAAAGTCACCCAGCTGGCTTTCACATCTAAGGCGGGATTAGAACTCCCTGTCTCCTGGTGATTGGCCCAAAGTCACCCAACCAGCTTTCATGGCCAAGGCGGGACTAGAACTCCCCATCTCCTGCTGATTGGCCCAGTCATGTAGCCAGCTTTCATGGCTAAGGTAGGACTAGAACTCACTGTCTCCTGGTGATTGGCCCAAAGTCACCCAACCAGCTTTCATGGCCAAGGCGGGACTAGAACTCCCCGTCTCCTGCTGATTGGCCCAAAGTCATGTAGCCAGCTTTCACATCTAAGGCGGGACTAGAACTCCCTGTCTCCTGGTGATTGGCCCAAAGTCACCCAACCAACTTTCATGGCCAAAGTGGGACTAGACACTCTCTACAAAAATTCTCAGCGACCCAAAGGCACAACAGGACTCCAGACATCCCCACATGTCCCTCGGACATTCAAATCAGAAATGGCACGGCCAAAGGCTGAAACTCACTGCACGGTTTCCAGCGCTGCGTGCTTCTTGGCTTCCTCAACCAGGGCCAACGCAGCTTCGTCCGTCAACGAATTGTAGGCCAAATCAAGCTCCTGTAGGTGCTGGTTCTGAGCCAGGTGCTGGGTGATCACCTCCACACCCTGGTTCCCCAGGGAGGTGTGAAGTAGTGAGAGATTTCTCAAAGAGCTGTTGCCAGCCAGGCCTTCCGCGAGGTAGATGGCCCCCTGCTCCGTCAACGGATTGTCTGCAAGACTGAGGAGGACACAGTAAACATCAACCTAGGAGAAGACATCACCTTTCCCACTGCCCAACCTCCCTTGGTCAGATGCCTTCTAGATGGCATCTGACCCACAGATTCCATCTTTCCTGCCATCCCAAGAAATTTATGCCTGGTATGTTTGTTGACGACATCAAAAGTAGTAGAAGAAAGCATCTCCTTCTGCAACCTTCCCTGCTCTCTTTCTCTCACTATGGAGCCCTTGGCGCCGTGCAGAATTTTGCGTACAGTAGTGGCTAAAATTGTGGAAACCTTTTGGGAAAAAGTGTATTTTTGAGGTTTGATGGCTAATAGCACCACTTTTTTATTTGGAGTTTCAAGATAATCCTATTCCGCTGCTGGAACGGCCTGGGAATAGCCCAGACCTTCTTAACCCAATTAAAAATCGATGGATTTTCTGACTAAAGAATCTTGTTAGTCAGAAGAGACCCAGCAATAAAACCCAGTTAATAGAAGCCATCATTCCATCTTGGTTTCACATGATAACAGCTGCAGGACTCAAAGACTTCGTTCACTCCATGGGAAGACGTTGTAAGGCCGTCATTCATGCTAAAGGTTACCCAACTAAATATTAACTGACATGAGGATCATTTTTGTATATCTCGTTTTTTCTAGGGTGATCATTTTTGTATATCTCTTTTTTTTTCTATGTGTTTCACTTTTCTTCTTTATATTGTAACTGCTATTCCAGTAGCAAATCCTTCCTAAAAGTTATTGCATTACATTCTTGATTAAATTATCTTTCCATTGATATATGATTTTATGGTACTACTCCAAAAAAAAAAAAAAGTGGTGTTATGAGCTAGTTTTAGAAAATACACTTTCCCCAAAAGGTTTCGACAATTTTGGCCACTACTGTATATATGATCACATTTTGTACTGGCCAATCAAGAATGGTATCTGCCACTTGGGCAAATAATATTTGCATGCTTTGTCTACAGGATGCGCACTAGGCTCATAGGATTCTCCAACCAGCGTATGCTCCAAGAACGTCAATCCAGCAAAATAGCTGGACAATTGTACCCATCCAAGGCAGGTTACAAATTCACCCATGCCAACCTGCTTTTTCTCCAGAAAAGTGGAGAGGACACAATTCCTCAACCGCAGGTCCTACCTGGAGTTGCAAGCAAAGCTTCTCTGGAGGGTAACAGGTCAGAGAGAGAGAGAGAGAGAGGAAAGGGAGAAGTTTGTTTAGGTAGAACATCACAACAAAGTCAGAGATCCAGAAAAGCCGAATTTCTGGTTTCTAGCGCACATGCGTGCCCAACAATCAGCTGGCTGGCGCACATGCGCAGCACTGCCATGCATGCAAAGTGTTAGGATATGGTTTGAGCCTAACAAGTTGTCCAGGCAATATATGTGTTCTGTGTCTTTAATATGAATATGTATTGTGTGACTTTGAAGTTTTCCTGCTGATTCATTGTAACGCTGAGTAATGCTGTAATTACACTGGTTGTGAACGTATTTAAGAAAGGTACTGTAATGTATTCAGTTGATGATATGCTACCGTTGTGTGAGGAGTTGCTATGCTATGCTATCATCGTTGGATGGATCTGCTACCATCGTGGTTTGTGAACGAGAGTGAGTTTGTTATTCTAACCAACTAATGTTTGTTTGGTAAGAAGATACCTGTAACTACTGGACTGATTTAACTGGCAAAGATTTGGAATTTGTTTAAAGACTATGAGACTGCTTTTTCTACTATAAAGTAAGCTTTTGATAAACCAGTTTGCATAACTCTTATTCATTGCTCTCAGCAACGTTTCCTTGTGCATTTACTCTGCTGGTTGGTAACACAACAACAATATCCTTAACACAAAGGACAGCCGATTTTCAGCACTGCCGTGCATGCAAAGGACAGCCGATCGTCGTGTGCGCGTGTGTGCCAGAAACCCGGAAGACAAACAGGCAAGGCTGCGTGTACTGGAGGTCACGGCTTTGTGTGCCACTTTGGGCACGCGTGCCATAGGTTCGTCATCATGGGTCTAGAAAGATCTGCTCCAAATCGGCTTTGTCATCTCTCACCCATTCCTTTCTCTTTCTGCTTTGAGTCAGAGTTTGGTACTGATCTACAAGCCATCAGAAACACAGCTCTCCTTGGCTGCCTCACGGAAGTGGAAGCCATCCTCCCCCACAAGCCCATCTCCTTCACACTCACCGCAAGGTGTCGACTACACATTTGTCATGCAGAAGTAGGTTCCGGATCTCCTTGCACGCCTCTGGGCCCAGATTATTGAGCTGCAAACTGGAAGAGACAACGGAACAACATTGGAGTTGCAAGTCCAGCATCCTATGCTCAGTTTTCCCAATGCGCTCACTTTGACCAAGCTGTCAAGGATGATGCAATATGCAGTACCCCAAAACTGGTGGAACGCTGCCCCAGGAAGCTTCCTGGCACTCAGATTCATCAACGGACCAGTCCGTTCCCACAGGGAGGGTCTCCTCAGGGTGCCGTCAACCAAGTTATGTCGACTGGCGGCGCCCAGGGGGAGGGCCTTCTCTGTGGGAGCCCCAGCCCTATGGAACGAACTGCCCCCGGAAATTCGTAAGATCTCCGACCTCCGGGCGTTTCGCTGCGCACTGAAGACCCTATTATTCCGCCAGGCCGGACTAACAACACAATAGTTTTTAAATTGGGATATTTAAATTTATTGGGGTTTTAAATCTGAGCCACTTTATTTAATTATTTTAAATTTTATATTGTTGTTTTGTTTGTGTTTTTAAACAGGCTGTACACCGCCCTGAGTCCTTCGGGAGAAGGGCGGTATAGAAATAAAATTATTATTATTATTATTATTATTAATATCTTCCGTTTCAACCATAAAACGACTTTCTAACTTTCTATCTGATTTTGCCACCCTCTGGTCAAAGTCAAGACTGCAATTTTCTAGCCGTTGAAAAATACACACTGGAACTGAGTCACCAAAAAAGATTACCGAATTTACTAAGCATTTACCGCAAATAATCTATTTTCAAAGGGTTGGGAGTAATGATGGTACATGATGTTCTCTTCAATTGGCTGGAAACGACGCTATTTTCTGCTCGATCCTTTAAATTCAGCGTTAAGTTCCCTTCAAATAAATAGGGCAAACTTGCCAGAAAAGCAGGCTATCGTAAGAACAGCACGTTGGTATTTCTAAGAAACCAATGTATTTTTTTTTTCAATTCGCTTTCTTAAAAAAAAAAAACACGAATTCAAAAAAAGATGTGGGTTAAAACACACACCGTTATGTCAAAAAATGAGGGCGAAACCTCATAATTATTGCAGAACTCTTAGATTTAATTGCGTGTCATAATTGAAGCTTAACCTTGATGTGAAATTGTGTGGGTTGTGCTAAATCAGAGCAGGACAGGGGTGGGCTGCTGGGAGTTCGCAGAGGTTCGGGAGAATCTCTAGATAAGATTCTCTGTAGTTCGGAGAACCCCCAAATCCCACGCCCCACCCAGAAGTTCCCATCCGGCCTGTTTTGGATGCAGATAAGTGCAGGGCGTGCACGGATGCTCGGGGAGGGCAAAAAATGGGCCTACCGGAAGTTCAGGAAGACCGGAAACTGGCTCGTTTCTGGCCTCCAGAGGGCCTCCGGGGCCTGGGGAGGCCATTTTCGCCCTCCTGGAGGCTCAATGAAAGCCTCCGGAGCCCAGGAAGGGCAAAAACAACACACACGCCATGGTGCAGGAGGCTGACTAGGGCACGCTCACCATGGCCACACCAACTCAGTAACCGGGCAGAGAACCCCTTGCTAAATTTTTGGAGCCCACCCATGGAGCAGGAGATACTCACTGGAGTTTCCTGCATCGTAGCAAGATGGGGAAAAGTGTCCTCAGGCTGCCCACATCAAGATGGCAAGAGGCAAGATTGAGCTCCTCAACGTCGTGGCTCGTGGTGCCCACAACTGAAGCCAGGACCGCGCATTTGAGAGGGGTCATCTTCACTGAAGAGAGGTTGATGGTCCTCAAGGATTGGACAGCCTCGGCTGTGAAACGTTCATTCTGGAACTCATGCAAAAAGAAGAGATAGTCCATCAGTTCAGATGGCGGCAATCCCTTACGGCTATTTCGGATGACGGTTTTCTTCATGGCCTTGGCAATCTCGAAAGCAGCCAGGTTCTTGATTGGACAGCCCAGTTGATCCAAGATGGCCCGGTTACGCCGGGACAACAACCCACCCATGAAGATGGGGAAGAGCTCGAAGACCTCATCGTCGGAAGCTTCATCCGGGTGGCGCATGGGACCTTCCACCCCAAGAATGCTGAAGTTGATCTGGTCCAGGACATCGTCGTTGAAGTAGTCCTCCTCTTTGAACATCTCCACTGCCATAGTGCGGGCGATGGTATCCCGGTCCTTGGTACTGAACCGGGTGAAGTAGCGGGGAAAGATCTTGATGAGGTTGAAGAGAAGAGGTAGGATGCGCAATGGCAAGAATTTGGAGACCACGCTGAGCACCAGGGCCACATCCTCACTGACTTTCCCAATAATTTCAGAGACTTCCTTGCCCACCCGTTGCACCAGGGTCTTCTTCTCCCCCAAGACCACGTAAAGGGCAGCCAGGTACTCTTGCATGGCCGGGATAGTGAAGACGAAAGAGTGTTCCTTGCCTGACTGAACAGAGGGGGTCAAGAAGAAGCGGAAAACGTCACTCCGGAAAGTGTTCAGGAGGTTCAGCTCACTCTCCGTCTTCATCTCCACCTCAAAACAACGGCGGAGATCCTTCTCTGTAAAGGAAGTCTGTCGGGACATCACCCCTTCGTAGGCCAACTTGCCCACCGTCTTGGCCACATACTTCATCATGGAGATGTTGGAAGGATCGGTGCTGTCCAGCACTTCCCCACTGAAGTTGAGCCGTAGGAAGCTAGTGTAGATCCCCGTCAGAGTTTGAGTTGGAGGCACCGTCTTGGTAAAATAAAGGAAGTGCAAGGTCGTACACACCAACCAGCAATAAGAAGGAAGGAAGCAGGCGGCCATAATCTGGTTGTGCCTCTCCAGATTCCTGGAGAGCATCTCCACAAGGTTGTCCTGCTCATTGGCCTGCTCTGCCGTAGGGGGACCAGAGGTTCCGGCACACTCCGGCTGCCGTAGGCGCATCTGGAAGTAAAGCTTCTGGAGGTTGAGATCCGAGAAGCCACAGACTTCAACGTAGCGTCCCACAAACTTGCTGGGGATCCGGCGTGCTGCCGAAGGGCGAGTAGTGACAATGATGCTGGCCTGGAGGAATGGAAACAAACTGGAGTTATTCCCAAGTCTCGGGCCCAGTGATGTCTCAAGGGCATTCATGGTGGAACAGAAGGGTGATATATGAAGTTATGAATCCTACTGATGGGACTCAGCAGAGAACTGGTCCAATTTAGTTCATCATCTACAGTGGTTAGTAACAAATCAAGGAGAATATTTGTAGCTCAGGGTTGCAGTGAGAGGTCCTTGGTACTCTCTGAGCTGGGTTGTTTTCTTACAGACATTTATTTCATTACCCAAACTAGGTAACATCATCAGTGCTAGTAGGGAAAGGGGTTTGCTCTCTGAAGCCCACTCCCTTCTAGCACTGATGATGTTACCTAGTTGGGTAATGAAATGTCTGCAAGAAAATAACCGAGCTCAGAGAGCACCAAGGACCCCTCACACTGCTTAACGTTCATTCCATTTGTATCCCACCTCTTCCGATTAATTTAAAGCAGACAAGGTAAGGAGATAGCTAGGCAAAGATCACCCAATCAAATATATATTTAAGGGTTGGCCCTGTGCAAATAAAAAATGATTGGTTTCCAATACTTAGTAGAGACTGATTCTATCCCACGCGACCAGGGGTGAAATCCAGCAGGTTCTGACAGGTTCGGGAGAACCGGTAGCGGAAATTTTGAGTAGTTCAGAGAACTGGCAAATGCCATCTCTGGCTGGCCCCAGAGTGGGGAGGGAATGGAGATTTTCCTCCCCCCAGGAGTGGGGAGGGAATGGGGATTTTGCAGTATCCTTCTACTGCCACGCCCACCAAGCCACGCCCACCAAGCTACATCACACCCACCAAGCGACGCCCACAAAACCGGTAGTAAAAAAAATTGGATTTCACCACTGCACGCAACCCTTAATTCGTAACTCTTAAGGCTACTGATCTCAGCTGCCTCCTTGGCGAAAGGAGAAGGGAGAAAGAAAGCAGGAAGGAGGAGGGCACAGTATGGACCTCTGCCCGTCCTTTCCCACAAACCTCGGGCATCATGTACTTCCTGAGCAGGTTGACGACAATGGCAGCTGGCAAGAGGGGCTCATTGGGGTCACAGCAAAGCTCAGTGCGGGCCAGGCGAAAGTCCAGGTTGAGACGGTCAAGGCCATTGAGGATGAAGAGCACTTTGAGGTTGCTGGAGCCAAGCAGTGGGGCCACCTCCCGCAGGTGGAGGTATTTCTTGGTCACTAATCGGCGCAAAGACACGGGGCTGTTGCCCTGGGAAAGGTCTTCACAGGAGAAGGGGAGGAGCAGCTCAAAATGAGGAAGGCGCTCGTGACACCAGTCCATCACCATCTTCTTGATGAGGGTGCTTTTCCCGGTGCCCACCGTCCCATAGAGGACGACATTCTTCACTTCTTGTCCGCAGAGGTCTTCGTCAAAAAGGTTCTGGAGGCCAATGGTATGATAGCAAGAACATTGGAGTTGGTTCTGGATTGTCAGATCTGGAGATGGTTTCAAGATTTCCTCCAGGGAGCTCTCCCGGATCACCGGATCGACGTGGGTGGCGTCCAGGGCGAAGGAAGGTCCAAACTGTCTCTCCTCGTTGGGCTGCCGGCTAAACCAATCCGCCAGACTTTTCTTGTGTTTTTGGATGGCTTCTGCGGAGGAACAAGAGAAGGAAAGGCGAGAAGGAGATTAAGTTCCTTCTCTAACATCCCTAGAGATCTTGGGTTGTATCTGACGGACTTTCATCACCCACCAACCCTCCAGGGAAGGAAGGTCCACAGGTTTACCAGAAGTGGCTACGTTCTTCGGCACTCTTTGGTTTGGTCTGGGGGAAGCAGGCCGAGATGTTGATTCTTGTAACATTCCTGAGTAATGGGTGAAGTTCCTATGGAGAAACAAAACTGTTAGAAGAATGATGTCGCTCTGATGGCCAAGATTAATTACTCCATTCTCTCACCATATTCAAAATTACACAAGGACGACAATTTTCTGAGGACCTCTGGAGGCCAGAGATGTCCTTGGGGATCAACATGGGGTATAAGTCTAGACCCGTGATGGTGAACCTGTGGCACGCGTGTCACAGGTGGCACGCGGAGCCATATTGCTGGGCACGTGAGCGTTGTCCTACCTCAGCTCCAGTACGCATGTCCGTGCTGGATAGCTGATTTTTGGGCCTTCTGGGCCCACCAGAAGTTGGCAAACGGACTGTTTCCGGCCTCCAGAGGGCCTCCGGTGGAGTTGGGAAGGCTGTTTTTGCCCTCCCCAGGCGCCTAGAAAGCCTCTGGAGCCTGGGGAGGGCAAAAAAACGGGCCTACTGTGCCATCACATGCCAAAAGGGGGGGGGGCGGGGGGGGGATCGCATGCATATGCGTGGGGGGGGCAGGGCACATAGAATTATGAGTGTGGGCATGCATGTGCATGACTACCCCGCATTCCCTCAGCTTTTGGCACGCGATGGCAAAACGGTTAGCCATCACTGGTCTAGACCAAGGGTCATCAACCTTTTGGACCTCAGGGACCACTAAAATCATAATTTTAAATCCCACGGACCACTAATATGAATTGGTGACGGGATGGGGTCCTTCAGGCACTTAGCTTGGCCGCCTGTTAGCGGAGAGAAGTGCCCATAGTCAACACTAGCTTTGCTGTCCATTGCAGCTAAGAATCTCAAATACGGCCAAGAATTAATGTTTGTCTTGTGGCCAGCCCGGCCGCTAGATCAGCCCCCTGCAAACGTTGTCTCTCAAGGAGCCTGGCCAAAGTTTCGCGCACCGCTTCGGAGCGGTGGAAATACCGCTTCGGAGGAACCAGTAGCTTTTTAAACTACCGGTTTGCCCATTTCACCCCTGGTGACTACCTCGGTGCTGAATCCCTCACCCACCCACTTTGTTTTCTGCCCGGGACCCAACGTCTTCCATTCCCCAGAGGAAACATCCTGCCCACCTGGAGCTGAGCACATCAGAGGTGTGCTCTTACCTGAGTGGAGATGCCAAGGAGCACCGAGTCTGGTCTAGGTCAAATATTCTCTTGAAGAGTGGTCTTCTCCCTGTACCTCAGATCAAAGAAGACCAAAAAGTAAGCAATCCTGAAGCCTATCCATTTGTTTCAGAGAATTTACACGTTATACTTTTGCAACTTATGAAGCAGGGAGGTGGAGCTCCTCTTAGCCCAGGGGTCAGCAACCTGCGGCTCTGAAGCCGCATGCGGCTCTTTGGGCCCTCTGCTCCCTGTCAGGTGATCCCACCACTGGCTGGCCCCTCCCCTCCCTCCCTCCCCAGTCACTCCTCGCCTGGCTTGAGAAGGTAAAGGTGACAGTGGGGGATGGAGAAGCAGCCAGGGCAGAGACAGAGAGATACAGAGAGAGGGGAAGAGAGAGAGAGACATAGAGAGATACAGAGAGAGAGGGAGAGGGGTGGGAGAGAGGGGGGAGAGAGAGAGATGTCAAAAGGATTTTGTGTTTCCCGGTGTTTTTAACAACTGGTTCTCTGCCCTAATGACCGGCTGGGTAGGCGTGGCTAGGGGGGAGTCATGTGACTGGTGGAAGTGAGTGACATCAAGTTGGCTACGCCCACCCAAGTTTTGTGGCTCCCGGTGTTTTCTTTTCTGTGGGAAACAGGTCCAAATGGCTCTTTGAGTATTTAAGGTTGCAGACCCCTGTCTTAGCCCAACTTAAATGTTGCAGATTTAGCATCCCATGATAGGACTCCGCTGAAGTGAGACATGACTAAGCCAGGACACGCAGGGAGCCCGTGACACACCAACGTGATTGATGAAATCGCTGCAGGGAATGCTATCACTCCCACGTGGTGTGGGGAAAGGGTTCAGGCTAATCCTAACCCTCCCTTAATCCCAGTTGCTGAGTCACAAGCAGAACAGAAGTTAAGATTAATAGATAGGGGGAAGGCTGGGAAACAAATAACCAAGAGGCCTTGAAGGTTGGAAAGAATGGAACAAAATCTTCCTGGTTTACAGGGAAGAGAAGGGAAGGGAAGGGAAGGGAAAGGAAGGGAAGGGAAGGAAGGAAGGAAGGAAGGAAGGAAGGAAGGAAGGAAGGAAGGAGGGAGGGAAGGGAAGGGAAGGGAAGGGAAGGGAAGGGAAGGGAAGGGAAGGAAGGGAAGGGAAGGGAAGGGAGGGGAGGGGGGGAAGGGAAGGGAAGGGAAGGGAAGGGAAGGGAAGAGTTGGTCCAGAACTGTTTCTCAACCTCCGGCAAATTTAAGATGTGTGGACTTCAACTCCCAGAATGCTGGCTGAGGATTCTAGGAGTTGAAGTTCACACATCTTAAATTTTTGCTGAGGTTGAGAAACTGGTCCAGAAGCTTTATGACTGAGCAAAAAAGAAAGAATCCACCTCTTTTTGAAAAAGTAGGATGGTTGTAGCTTAGGGATAGTATTTGTTTCATTCATTCATTCATTCATCCATCCATTCATCCATTCATTCATCCATCCATCCATCCATCCATCCATCCATCCATCCATCCATTGATTCATTCATTCATCCATCCATCCATCCATCCATCCATCATCCAATCATCCATCCATCCATCATCCAATCATCCATCCATCCATTGATTCATCCATCCATCCATCCATCATCCAATCATCCATTGATTCATCCACCCATTCATTCACCCACCCATCCATTCACCCATCCATTGATTCATCCATCCATCCATTCATTGATTCATCCATCCATCCCTCCATCCATCCATTCATTCATTTCCAACTTCAATAGATTCTGGAACAAGAAGCTCAAACCCTTGGAAGTATTGCTTACACAGATCCTCCTGAAGCGTCCATTGAAGTCTTCTTCTCCCTTCTTTGGACTTTAATTGGCACAATGGGAGCAGAAACTTCAAAGTTAATACCCCCCCCCCAGGCTCGGAAAATAAAGGAAAAATAACATAATCTGAAGCTCCCCTGCCATTCCAACCTAGAGTCCAATCTTTGCTTACCCAACATGAGATCCAGGTGTCTTCCCAGGGATGCAGCCCCCCTGCTTCTTCCTCTGAGGGTTCTGGGCTTCACTCGATTGAACTGGACCCCCATCTGGGGAAGCCAGTGCTTGAAATGCATGACGCCAAAGTCCTGTCCTTCAACTGAAAGAGACATCAAGGGTCAGAGGTCTTGTGGAAAGGACACCCCAGGTGCATCCTAGCCCAGCATGGTGTATCCTTGGCCAGTCTAGACCCCAAAACTCATTTACAGAATTTGCCCTGGGTTGCTGGCCCAATCCTAAAATCAAAGGGCAGATCATAACAGGATCCAGGAAGACACCATCACTCACAAATTGAATTTTTTTGACAGGGAGAACAATCAACCCATGGAACAGAAGTTGCCTTCAGAAGTTGTGGGAGCTTCATCACTGGAGGCTTTCAAGAAGAGACTGGACTGCCATCTCTCAGAAATGGTGTAAGGTCTCCTGCTTGGGCAGGGGGTTGGTCTAGATGACCTCCAAGGTCCCTTCCAAATTCCAACTCTGCTAACCTGTTAAATTGATTGCTACTCCAGTAGATTCTCTCCCTTGTGGGTCTTTCTACCTGTTACATCAATTGCTCCAGTGATGGGTTGCTCTCAGTTCTGCCCGGTTCTTTAGAACCGGTAGTAAGAGCAATGAGAGGCTCCGCCCACCCGCCTGGACGTCATAATTGACAACAGGGGTGGGTTCTAAATTTTTTTTACTACCGGTTCTGTGGGCGTGGCTTATTTTCTGGGTGTGGCTTGGAGGCCATGTGACTAGGTGGGCGTGGCTAGCTGGTCAGAGTCATTTCTGGAAGGTCCTCGCACTTACAACCAGTCCTCGCACTTACGACCCGACTCATTTGTCTGCTTTTAACACTGATCAGCTGTAGGACGGCCCTTTGAAGCCCCGCGGCAAGAGTTTAAACAGGTTTTTTTCCCTCTAGTCATCAGCTGGGACTCAGGAGGCAGCAATAGATTGGGGGTGGGACCAAATAAAAGGTAAGAATAACGTGGGGGGGATGGAGGGGAGGGCAGGGTGGGAGAACCGATTCGGTGACGTCATATCGTCACCGCTACCGGCTCGGCCAAACCGGACCGAACCGGGAGGAACCCACCACTGATTGACAATCTGCGAATGCGCAGAAGCGTGCACGCACGCGCTCCTGTTGCAAACTGGTAGTAAAGGTAAGTAGAACCCACCCCTGAATTGTTCTGATTTCAGTCTATGGAAATCTTCACGGGTGTTTTCCAATCCAACAGACAGGCTGGAAAACCGTTCCTGTTGCCGTTTTCACTTGCACCAGACAAATTTAGCTTTGTGTGAAATAGAGCATAGCTGTCGTGGATAATTCCCATCCCTGGGAATTATCCATTTATCCAATTTTCCAAAAGCATTTCCTCCTTAAATTCCAATGGTTCTTTCTCTTTAGGAAGGATCCTTTCCTTAAAAGCTCCTTCTGTATCTTATTTTTGGACAGGATGAAAATGACCTGTTGTTTGACAGGAGCCCAACTTAGAAAGGAAAATAAACTGGCCTATTTGACCTCACAAACGGAGGTTTAGAGAGCAAGCCACCCCACGTTCATCCAAGATCAAGGCCTCCGACCAGGGGTGAAATGCTCCCGGTTCGGACCGGATTGCCCGATCCAGTAGCAATGGTGGCGGGTGGTTCAGAGAACCGGTAGCAAAAATCCCTGCGCCTCCCCCCCCACCATGCTCAGCTGAGTCGCATGATTATCAGAGGCTTTTTTAAAAAAAAAAACTTTTAAAAGCATTTTTTCTACAACCTCTTCCGACGAAAAAATGCTTTTAAAAGTTTTTTTTTAAAAAAAGCCTCTGATGATCGCGCGGCTCAGCTGGGATCGTCAGAGGCTTTTCAAAGCATTTTTTTCTGCAACCTCTTGGCTGAAGAGGTGGTTAAAAAAAAATGCTTTGAAAAGTCTCTGACATCCCAGCTGAGTTGCCTGATTGGCAGAGGCTTTTCAAAGCATTTTTTAAAAAGCCTCTCTGACGATCCCAGCTGAGTTGCCTGATCGGCAGAGAGGCTTTTCAAAGCATTACAAAAAATGCTTTGAAAAGTTTTTTTTCAAAAAAAGTTGGCCATGCCCACCCAGTCACATTACCCCCCCACCCCACCCCACCAAGTCACACCCACAGAACCGGTAGTAACACATTTCACATTTCACCCCTGCTTACTTTTGGAGTCAACTCAGCCACCCGTGTGGATCGTGGTGCTTCTCAAAAGAGTTTTGCCATCTGCCACGTTGGGATGGCTATCGGATGTCGCCATGCACCCGGCAACCACAACAGCAAAACATAAAACTCACTGTCCTCGCCAAGACAGCACAAATCCTTGCAAGTGCATGAAAAGACTAATAGCAGGAAGCCAGGAAGGAGAGAAAGAAGAACTGGAATATATCTGAGGATCTGCAGAACAAGTTGCTTTAGGAAAGCAGTTTTAAAAAGCCGTTTCTAAAGGAACTTCCTGTCGAATGCACACCTTCTGAGCTACAGTTTTCTCCCGTCAACGCTTCTGATAGACAAAGTCTGAAGGACGGACCCGTTTCTGTTTTGTCTTGTCAAATGCCAGGCTGACGTAAGGCCTGGTTCTCTGCCAGCTCTCCTCCTCCTGGCCCTTCACTAAATCCCAACAGACAAAAATAATCAGGTTTTCTCCTCCTCTTAAAGCCACAGGACGGAAAAGGTTTTCTGAGCAAGCCAGAAGGACACTTTGGTTAGAGCTAATACCACTCTATAAAGCCTTAGTAAGACCACACCTAGAGTACTGTGTCCTGTTTTGGTCACCACACTATAAAAAAGATGTTGAGATTCTAGAAAGAGTGCAGAGATGATTTTAGGGGACTGGAGGCGAAAATATATAAAGAACGGTTGCAGGAACTCGGCATGTCTGGTCTAGTGAAGAGAAGGACCAGGGAGACATGATAGCATCTTCTAATATGTGAGGGGCTGCCCCAGAGAGGAGGGGGTCAAGCTATTCTCCAAGGCACGCAAAAGGCCAGAGAAGGAATAATGGATGGAAACTGACCAAGGAGAGATTCAACCTGGAAATAAGGAGAAATTTTCTGACAGGGAGAACAATCAACCCATGGAACAGAAGTTGCCTTTGGAAGTCGTGGGAGCTTCGTCACTGGAAGCTTTCAAGAAGAGACCAGACTGTCATCTGTCAGAAATGGTGTAGGGTCTCCTGCTTCAGCGGGGGGTTGGACTAGATGACCTAAAAGGTCCCTTCCAACTTTGTTAATCTGTTAAAACAGAGTTTTAACTCTGAGTTGGTGGCCAAGCAGGGATGAAATCCAGCAGGTTCTGGAGAACCGGTTGCGGAAATTTTTGAGCAGTTCGGAGAACCAGCAAATACCATCTCTGGCTGGCCTCAGAGTGGGGTGGGAACAGAGATTTTGCGGTATCCTTCCCCTGCCATGCCCACTAAGCCACACCCACAGAACCGGTAGTAGTCAAAATTGGATTTCACCACTGTGGCCAAGCCAGATGAACAGGAGACAAGCTAAGAGACCATCCAAATTTCTTAATTCTGCTAAATTGAAGGAGGGGGGGGAAAGTACAAAGAGATGCAAAATTTCCCCCTGAATTTTGCCATTCCCACTTTGGCAAAATTGTGCTCCTTTGGGAGACGTTTGGATGCAGAAAACTCTTTGTTGGCAAGAAGAATTTTCTTCGTTCTCTCCTCGTGCTGAATAAACCAAGCACCAAATGTTGCGTTGCTTCCGCAATAAAAACCCATGTTGAGACTTTGAGGCGTCTCCAGAAAAAAAGAGAGAGAGAGAGAGCCAAAACTGTCTTTCTGCCCACAATTTTGGTGGTACGACTCAAAACTTTCCTGACTCATATCTGTAGCTACAAGACTGAAGTCCTGAATTAGGGGGGAAACAGCAGTGGTGAAATCCAATTTTTTTTACTACTGGTTCTGTGGGCGTGGCTTGGTGGGCATGGTGCGGCTTGGTGGGCGTGGCTTGGTAGGCGCGGCAGGGGAAGGATACTGCAAAATCCCCATTCCCTCCCCACTCCTGAGGGAAGGATATTGCAAAATCCCCATTCCCTCCCCACACCAGGAGAAGGAGATTGCAAAATCTCCATTTCCACCCCACTCCAGGGGAAGGATACTGCAAAATCCCCATTCCCTTCCCACTCCAGGGAAGGATATTACAAAATGTCCATTTCCACTCCACTCCAGGAGAAGGATATTGCCAAATCTCCATTCCCTTCCCACACCAGGGGAAGGATATTGCAAAATCTCCATTTCCACCCCACCCCAGGGGAAGGATACTGCAAAATCCCCATTCCCTCCCCACTCCAGGGAAGGATATTGCAAAATCTCCATTTCCACCCCACTCCAGGGGAAGGATATTGCAAAATCTCCATTTCCACTCCACTCCAGGGGAAGGATACTGCAAAATCCCCATTCCCTCTCCCCACTCCTGGGGCCAACCGGAGGTGGTATTTGCCGGGTTCTCTGAACTACTCAAAATTTCCGCTACCGGTTCTCCAGAACCTGATGGATTTCACCCCTGGGGGAAAAAAAAAAAGTTTGTCTTGTAGTGATTGCATCAGAGGGAGGGACCCATCCTTCCCGCAACACAAAAGTTAACATTGGCCCTTCTGCATTTATTTAATTTTAATTTTTACTTTTAACTTCCCGGTCTAGTCTCACAGCTGTTGCAACTTCCTGCCAGGGCTTACCCTGGCACAACCCCAGCCGCTCAGCCAAATATCAAGGAAAGGCTGCCACCTACTGCAGTGAGAAAGTTACACAAGGCTCCCAAAAACAAACCCCTTCAATTATTTCAGCCATTTTTGGTGTGTGTTTGTTTCTTTTTTTGGGAGGGTCCTTGTCCTTGGGCCTCAGTACTGGGAGGATTTGGGGGCTCAAAAATCAAGGTTTGACTTCCATGCCTCCTCTCTAAGCATCGCTCCTTCCATCCCCAGCCTCCCAAGCCAGCCTGCCGCACTCACAGCTGCGGTGCCAGCTACGCTGCTCTCGGGCTGTGAATGAAGGCGAAGAACCATCGCTTCGCCCCCTTCCCCCCCAATTCCCGCTGGGTTTTCCTGCTGGAAGTACATGGCCCCTTCCCCAAAACGGCGCCCAGCATCAGCACCCGGAGGCTGCAAACAGCTCCGCTCCGCTGCCCGCTCCCCCCAAAAAAGCCCCGACCCCAGATTCCCCCAGACCCTTTTGGAGTCACCTGAGATGAAGAGGGTCTCCCGCGGGTGGTCTCAGCCCCGGCTTCATCGGGGACTCTCCATGGGGGGGGGATTTGGGGGTCCGCTCGGGGAGGGAGAGGCAGCCAAAGCGCTGCTCTCTCCCGCTGCTTGTCTCTTCGCGGCTCCGCTGCGGTTTCCTTCCTGCGCTGCCCCGGCACTTCCCGCTGGGTGGTTGAGCTCGGCCTCCCTCGCCTCGATGGGTTCGGCTTCCCCAAAGCTGCCGGCCGAGAGGGAGGGAGGTTAGGCAGGGAGGGGCGGGGGCTGCTGGAAGTCATCTCCGGCGCCTGCAGGGTGGCTCCCTTCCTTGGCTCCGCGGGGCTGGCCGGCCCCGGAGGCGAAGCGCGGCTGGCAGCGGTGCCCAGGAAGAGGGGGAGGGTCGCTCTCCCGCTGCCCAGTCTTGCTGGGTGGGACCTTGAGCCTTCGACAGGACCGACTACACGATCTCACAGGGACCCGCGGGCCGTCCAGGAGAATTGCCTAAGATGAGGCTCTTTGATCTGCCAAGAAGAAATGAGCCTTGGTAGTACAGTGGTCTAAAGCAGCCTGTTATTAACACAGCTGCCTGCAATTACTGCAGGTTCGAATCTCACCAGGCTCAGGTTTGACTCAGCCTTCCATCCTTTCTAAGGTAGGTGAAATGAGGACCCAGTTTGTGGGGGCAATAAGCTGACTTCGTATAAATATACAAAAAGGATGAAGGCTATTGCTTAGCGCATTGTAAGCCGCCCTGAGTCTCCGGAGAAGGGCGGCATATAAATCAAATTAAATATATATATATATAACTTGCTTTGAAAACCCCAAAGCTGCAAACATACAATGTTTCCAAAGGAATCGTCATATCCACAAATACCAAGAACAAAGAAACACCAGGAAAAGCAGAATTTGGCTATTGTTTATTCCTAAACATTTGCAACTAGTGAAGGGTGTACCGTCGTCAGGCGTCGAGCTGTTAAGATTTGAGGGAAGATATCCCCACCCACCTTTCCGAAAATAACAGTGGAAATGAAAGGTAGAAAGAAAGAGAAAGAAAGAGAGAGAAATTTGTATTCTTGCCTGAGTTTGGGGATAGGAGCAATGAATGGCCAACTGAAATCATAGCACCAACGAAGAAGTCTTTAAACTCCTTGAGAATGGAGCTGCGAAGGGAACAGTATCTTCATCCATAGATCAGACCGGTTTTCTGCAACTTGTAGATGTGATCAGACCAGTTTTCTGCAACTTGTAGATGTGTTGAGATTGCAGGTTTTCATCTTCCCAGTTGAGAAAATAGCAAATTGCTACCTCAACATATCTGGAGGTGCCCAGGGAGCATTGCTTGGGGGGGGGGGGGAAATCTATGGCGATTCTAAGTCTTCCAGGTTACCTTTGGTTGTCCCAAAGGTGCTTTTTCCAAGAGGCAATTGGACTTTCTTGGTTTTTCCGGGAAGTTGTTTCGCTTCTCATCCAAGAAGCTTCTTCAGTTCTGACTGAAGCTCTGACGGTCAGAACGGAAGAAGCTTCTTGGAGGAGAGGCGAAACGTCTTAAAGGAAAAACAAAGGAAGTCCAGCTGCACCAAGGGAGGCTCATTCAATTTTGCTGTACACGTGTTGTGCGTTGACAATAAAGGTTTGATTTGATTTGATTTGATTTGATTTGATTTGATTTGATTTGATTTGGGTTGGGTTGGGTTGGGTTCCCTCTTGGAAAAAGCACCTTTGGGATTGCTTGGAGTATGTATTTGGGCCACTAGCTGTGAAAAAATCCTCTTGCCTTTATTTTGAAATTAAGGTAGTCCTCAAGTTAGGACCACAATCGGGGACTGGAATTTCTGTCGCTTAAGCAATAAGGTTGTTCAATGAGCGGCCTCCGATTTTATGACTTTTTTTTGCCACGGTGGTTAAGCGTTAACAACCCTGGCCGTTCTTAAGTGAATTGTGTGATTGTTTTAGTGAATCCAGCTTCCCCCGTTGAGTTCGCTTGTCAGCTTGGCTGGGAAGTTCGCAAACGGCGAACATGGGACCCCGGGACACTGCGACCCGATGGTTGCCCAAATTTTGATCGTGTGACGTGGGGATGTGGCAACGGTCATAAGTGCAAGGACTGGTTGCAAGTGACCTTTTCAGCACCCGTCGTTAACTTTGAACAGTCATTAAACAAATGGCTGGCAATGAAATGTCTGCATGAAATAACCAAGTTGTTGAGGCTGCTGGGAAATTATCCTGGGCATCAAATTTCAGGTGGGTATCAATCCCTCAGAGAAAAAAAAACATCTGAAGGCCACAGATGTTGGGAGGGTTTTCCCTCCCTCCCTTTCAAGGACGATGGGACTTTTCTTTCCTGCTGCATTTTTTTGCTCCTTTGCCTTCCAGGTCCTGTCTTGGATATTTTTTCAATTCCTGCTCGCCATTTGGGAGGATAAAGGCCTCTTTCATTCCTGAGAAGATGCCCACAACTGGTGGCGAAATCTGGCTTTTAGAGTTTTCATTCGTTCATTCATTCGCGGAGAAGACGACCCTGGTTCCCAGAGCTAAAGGAGGTGCAAGGGTCTCAGCAGAGAGGCTCGTGGAAGCCAAGGCAACATAGGAAGAAAAGGAAGAGGGTTTATTGCTGCAGCAGAGAGTGGTTTTCCGGGTGATGGAGGAGGGTCCTCAGGAAGGGTTCCCTTGATGGGCCAGAAATAGAGGGAGGGAAAGGGAGGGAGGGAAGGAAGGAAGGAAAAGAAAGAAAAAAGTGAGAGAGAGGGAAAGAGAAATAGAAAGAAAAGAAAATCTGTTTGTGAGGCAAAGAAAAAGAAAGAAAGAAAGAAAGAAAGAAAGAAAGAAAGAAAGAAAGAAAGAAAGAAAGAAAGTGTGTGAGAGAGGGAAAGAGAAAAATAGAAAAGAAAGGGTTTGAGACAAAAAAAGAAAGAAGGAAAAGAGAAAAAAGTGAGAGAGAGGGAAAGAGAAATAGAAAGAAAAGAAAGTCTGTTTGTGAGGCAAAGAAAAAGAAAGAAAGAAGAAAGAAAGAAAGAAAGAAAGAAAGAAAGAAAAAGAAAGAAAGGAAGTGTGAGAGGGAAAGAGAAAAATAGAAAAGAAAGAGTGTTTGAGACAAAAAAGGAAGGAAGGAAAAGAGAGCGAGGAAGGAAGAAAGAAAAAGAGAGGGGGGGAAGAGAAATAGAAAAGAAAGTGTGTTTGTGAGACAAAGAAAGAAAAAAGAAAGAGAGAGAGAGAGGGAAAGAGAAATAGGAAGAAAAGAGAAATAGACAAAAAAAGGAAGGAAGGAAGGAGGGAGGGAAAGATGTTAGAGGGAAAAAGAGAAAAAAGAGTGTGTGAAATAAAGAGAAAGAAGGAAGAAGAGAAAGGAAAGAGAAAGAAAGAAAGAAAGAAAGAAAGAAAGAAAGAAAGAAAGAAAGAAAGAAAGAAAGAAAGTCTCCTTCCAAAGTTTTAAAAAAATCATAAATTAGTCACTCAAGATTTTCAGACAAAAGCAATGGCAGGACAAGCGAAATAACGCTAGACATGTTCATCACACAGACTTGAGCTATAAAGCTCCAGCATCCCCAGCATCCGATGGCTTCAGGGCACTCACAAGCGCATCGTTGATCCCCCACCATGTATTTGGCAGCAGACTGCTCTTGATTATGGAAGCTCCATTCGTTCCCTCAAGAGCTTCGCTTTTGAAAACCAAACTGGACCACGGACAGGAATCTGGCGGTCAGGTAGCAAAATCCCAATCATTCCTACCATCTGCCATTTCGTTTGTTCTGAGTTATAGAGCTACAATCTGTCAAGAGCCAATTGATCTCCAGGGCCCAAAGTGCAAAAAAGATCAGGAGAAAGACCTGCTGGGGAGAAGAAGCAGTTTGGGGAATCTTTCCTGATCAAGAGGAACCTCTCCCACAATTGAGCTGGTCCGGGAAAGTCCATCGCTTTCCTTAAACCATTATCAACGCCAGTGTCCGGCAGCTTGACTACTGCCACCAAGCCTCTGTGGGATTGCAGGAAAACATCTCCGTGCCTTCATTCTTCTGGGTGTGGAAGATTGGGAGAACCTGCTTCTTCTCCAAAAGATTGTCCCCTCCAGAAGGTCTGGGGCTTCTTAACATTCTCAGAGGCTGGAGAGATCGAATAGAATAGAATAGAATAGAATAGAATAGAATAGAATAGAATAGAATAGAATAGAATAGAATAGAATAGAATAGAATAGAATAGAATAGAACAGAACAGAACAGAACAGAATAGAATAGATATTGGAATGAAAAATAGAATAGAAATAGAATAGAATAAGAACAGAATAGAATAGAATAGAATAAGAACAGAACAGAACAGAACAGAACAGAACAGAACAGAACAGAACAGAACAGAATAGAATAGAATAGAATAGAATAGAATAGAATAGAATAGAATAGAATGACAGAGTTGGAAGGGACCTTGGAGGTCTTCTAGTCCAACCCCCTGCTTAGGCAGGAAACCCTATGCCATTTCAGACCAATAGTTATCAAATCTCTTCTTAAAAACCTCCAGTGTTGGAGCACAATTCACAATTTCTAGAGGCAAGTTGTTCCTCTGGTTAATTGTCCTCACTGTCAGGAAATTTCTCCTTGGTTCTAAGTTGCTTCTCTCCTTGATGAGTTTCCACCCGTTGTTAAAACAAGCAGCACGGAGAGGAAGCTAAGGAAGCGGTTTTGACGAACAAACATACTTGATTGTCTCAGAATTTTAAACAAAAAAACAAACAAACAATTGCAACGCCCAGAAAGAAATACCGAAGGACCTTCAGATCTTCTTGGACCAGCGATGGAGATCCGAGAAGGTTGAGAAGAGCTCCCAAAAGTCTCAAATGGCAAATTTTTCCTATACGGCTACAGACAAGTGTATTTTCCCAGCAGGCTGGATGTGTTAAAACTGGAGCAATTGCCATTCCAGGCAAAGCTCCACTTCATTATAAAGAAACTCCTGTAATTTCTTCTGGTTAATCAGGCCGAACCGGTTTTGAATCATGGTTTCATCAACCGGGCCGTGGCTTGATTCACCAGAAGCAAAACGGAAGTGTGCTTTTTTGACGGCCCTCCGCGTGAACTCTCGCCACGGGTAGTCCTCGACTTACGAGCCCCGATGGAGCCCGCGATTTCCTTGCGGTTAAGCGAGACCTGCGTTAAGTCACTTTTGCCCCCCTTCTACGACTTTTCTGGCCAGCGTCGTCGAGTGAATCACTGCCGCTGACAAATTAGTAACTCGGTTGTTTAAAAATAAATCTGGCTTCCCCCCCCCCCACATCAACTTCCCTTGTCCGAAGGTCGCAAAAGGGGACTGTGTGACTCAGTGGTGGGTTGTCCCCAGTGGTGGGATTCAAGTAATTTAACAACCGGTTCTCTGCCCTAATGATTTCTTCCAACAACCAGTTTGTCAAATTGCTCAAAAAGTTATCAACCGGTTCTCCCGAAGTGGTGCGAACCGGCTGAATCCCACCTCTGTTTGTCCCTGGTTCAGACCGGTTCGCAAGAACCGGTAGTTAAAACCGGCGGGAGGCTCCGCTCACCGACCCCGACGTCATCAGGAAGCTTCTGCACACGCTACTGGTTGCAAACTGGTAGTAAAGGTAAGTAGGACCCACCTCTGGTGTGACCCCTGGGATGCTGGGACGGTCAGAAATGTGAGTCAGTTGCCAGGGGTTTGAATTTGGATCACGGGCCGATGGGGAAGCCGCAACCGTCATAACTACAAGTCAGCGGCCAAGCGTCTAGATTTTGATCTCGAGACCATGGGGATGCGGCAACGGTCGTAAGTGTGAAAAACGGTCATAAGTCACTTTTTTCGATGCCGCCGTAACTTTGGACGATCACTAAATGAACGGTTGTAAGTCGAGGACTAGAGCTGCATCTCCCGTTTTCAGCCGGTACACGCAACGAGGTTTTTATGCAACCTAAAGCCGCCTTTCTTTCCCCCAGAATCTCTCAGCCACCCACCACCATCAGTTCTGGCCCCACAGAAGGAGCAGGTTTTCCAAACGCCGCTCGAAGTTCGAAAGCCTCTCCGGGTGGGCACATCCCACCGGCTGAACCTCCAGCCAGCCGGCGTCTTGCGTTCTTGCAAAAGAAGCTGGATAGATTATTTGTGTGTGTGTGTGAAGGGTTCAGGAAAAAAGCATCCGGGAAAGGAGGCCAAGAGGGAGGGAAGATATGAAAGTCACCCCGTTGCTACATGTAGGGTTAGGGGGTGCAGCCCTATGAGCCCACACCTCCTATGAAGTCTTCCGAAATCTTAATACGCATCCACATGCTACGGTTCCTGCAAGCAAAGCAAGTCAGAAAAAAAAAAAAAAACCAGGCGAATCGAGCAATGGCGCTACGAAGTGTGCTTGTCAGAGGAAAACCCCCTCCCGCCCCCTCCCTGCACAGCTTCCCCCCCCACCCAGCCCAGTGCCTCCCCTGGGCCCTGCCCAAACCGGTTCTAGCATCTCTCCCCACCCCACCCCCACCCCGGCTGGCCACACACACACCCCAGTCTGGGGCTCCCCCCCCCGCCTTGTCTCCACTCGTTGTACGGCAAAGACATTTCCTTGGGTGGATATTCAGCTTTGGGAAGAGAGCTTGGATGATACGGTCCAGAAATGTATATGAGAGAGGGAGGGAGGAAGAGATACAAGGGGAGGAAGGAAAGGAAAAGGAAAAGGAAAAGGAAAAGGAAAAGGAAAGGAAAGGAAAGGAAAGGAAAGGAAGGAAAATGGGAAGGAGAGGAAGGAAATAGAAAGGAGAGGAGGGAGGGAGGGAGGGAGGAAGAGATACAAGGGGAGGGAGGAAAGGAAAAGGAAAAGGAAAGGAGAGGAGAGGAAAGGAAAGGAAAAGAAGGAAAATGGGAAGGAGAGGAAGGAAATAGAAAGGAGAGGAAGGAAGGAGGGAGGGAGGAAGAGATACAAAGGGAGGGAGGAAAGGAAAAGGAAAAGGAAAGGAAAGGAAAGGAAGGAAAATGGGAAGGAGAGGAAGGAAATAGAAAGGAGAGGAAGGAGGGAGGGAGGGAGGAAGAGATAGAAGGGGAGGGAGGAAAGGAAAAGGAAAAGGAAAGGAGAGGAGAGGAAAGGAAACGAAAGGAAAGGAAAGGAAAGGAAAAGAAGGAAAATGGGAAGGAGAGGAAGGAAATAGAAAGGAGAGGAAGGAAGGAGGGAGGGAGGAAGAGATACAAGGGGAGGGAGGGAGGAAGGAAGACGGAAAAGGGAAGGAGAAGGAGGAGAGGAAGGAAGGAAAATGGGAAGGAGAGGGAGGAGAGGAAGGAAAGTAATAGGAAGGAAGGAAGGAAAGGAAGGAAAGGAGGGAAGGAAGGAGGGAGAGAGGGAGAGAGGGTGGGAGGGAGGGAGGGAGAAGAAGAAAGGGAGGGAGGAAGCCTTATTTGTCACGAAGAATTTAGGTTAAAACAGTTCTGAGATATTCCATCAGTCTTTGGCCAAGTTGTTGATGGTCACCAGCTCGCCAACATCTCCCCCTTTGACCTGTAGCCTGCAGAGGTTCCATTGGGGGCATGAGGGCAGTGGTAGGAAGGGCATTGCCTGGCTGGCTGTGTTTGTCCCACAGCATCAGGATCTGGGTCCTTGTCCCTTCTTATCTTGCCACCTTCACCTTGTACTTGAGGGTGAGGTAAGCCAGAAGGCGGATGATGACAAAGAAAACACCTAAGATGGCAAAGTCGAGGTACAGTTTGGCTTCTTCCACATCCAACTCCTTCAAGATCTTGGCTGGATCCTGGAAGGGGCAATCCATGTCTGTGCAGTCCAGATTTCCACGGTCCATGGAGTAGATGGTGAGGATGATGCCTTCAAAGCCGTACCTGAGCCAGAGCAAAGGAGAGAATGGAAATGGAGCTACAGGATAAATGGAAGGGTCCTTCAACAAATGGACTGGCATCTAGCATAATTCAGTATGACAGAGGTAGGGGGAAGGAGAGATAGATAGATAGATAGATAGATAGATAGATAGATAGATAGATAGATAGATAGAT